CCGGATGGTGAGAGTGCGAAAGGTCGCCAATAAGACAGTTTTATTTATTGACTGTGAGTTGGTCTCAAGGGGTGTGCGTTATTGTTATCGACGACTCGAAGGGATGGCTTTCATACAACCGAGCGACGGAAACACGCAGCCCCACGTGTTGGCTTTGATCATTTGGCACCGCCCGTCTTCAGGGGCTGTGCAGTATCGTCCAGAACAGTTGGACGCGCCAACGTCGCCGTAAAGGGGACATTCCATGCCCCTTGGGAACATGCCACTACCGGTGCAAGCCACCCCACGGCATGTCGGGATCATGTAAATCGACTCATTGCAAATGCTAGCATACGTTCCGATCGACTCAGCTGGGTCATAGGGTGTGGTTTCTGGTGTCGCCTGCCGAGGTCGAGATGTGTCAGGTGGTTCGTTTGTTGGTGGGGTATTCATTGGTGTTGGCGTGGACGGGGGAAGCTCAGTGGGTGATGGCTCGTTAGTTGGTGGAGCTGTAGTGGGCTCTGATGTGGGCGGCTCAGTGGGTAATGTCTCGTCAGTTGGTGGAGCTGTTGTGGGCTCTGACGTCGGCGGCTCAGTGGGTGATGGCTCGTTAGTTGGTGGAGCTGTTGTGGGCTCTGACGTCGGCGGCTCAGTGGGTGATGGCTCGTTAGTTGGTGGAGCGGTTGTGGGCTCTGATGTGGGCGGCTCAGTCGATGTTGGCTCGTTAGTAGGCAAGGCAGTCGTGGGCACTGACGAAGGTGGTATGGTTGGTTCGTCTGTTGTTGGGAAAGTAGGGGAAGCTGAACTTGATGAGCTTGTTGAATTGGTGGAATCCGTGGTTGACGTTGAATTCTCCTTAGGAGGAGTTGTAGGCGTAGTAGTCGGGGACCACGTGGGCGATGGGGGTGTCGCGTTCGAGCTATTCCACAAGGCTGGGTCTATGGTAGTTGGTAAAACAATGTATGGGCCGAGCGTGGGTGCGCTTGTGGTGTCATTTGGCTGCCGTTGGCTGTAAAACGGATCTGGTGCGTCCCCTATGGTTCCATTGGGATCCACCGCGGGGGGGGTGTTGACCTTCGGACTCAGTGACGCGGATAAGTCCGAGTCCGATGGCGACTGAATTGTCGTGACAACCATCACACTGACTATGGCTGTGAATACCGCTGCCCCAACCTTGAGTTTACTGGCGCTGAAAAGATCTTGATTCGTTAGCCAGTCCATCCAGAATGAATGCCCTAGAGTCCCCAGCTACCGACACCGTTACATACGTGAAACCGTCGAATCGGTTATATTGTACTTTGCACAAGGCGATTGTAAGTCCTGGAAATGACACTCGGTTCAGAATACCGCCTTCATCGCAGAACCATGCTTTAGACGGCGAAAATTTTCATACAACCCTCAATGTTGATCATGCGACTGAATCTACCCCCTGGGTACAACGACCGATGAAGGTTCTTGCGACCCATTGACGAAGGGGGCAGCCCGAGTTTAATGACATTTGCACGAGCCCACAAAGTATTCGAAAGCCTAACGTTACCGGTAGTATTGCGAAAGCAATGCATGGTGCTTAATTTGCTGAATGGTGGGCCTCACAAGATTACAGTCAGGTTCTCTCCACCAGCTAAAATCATTTGTTATATCAGTCGTTGAAACGATACTTCGCGAACGTGGAATGGAACGCTGGTTTCCTTGACGTCTCGCAGGCCGTACTTTCTAATAATAGAGCATTCAACCACATACTGTACGATATATGCAATTTGCGTACCCTTTGGCCATGCTATGCATGTGCTTGGCGCGATCGTCTTTGGACTCGCACTCTTTCGTTTCTTCGTCGGCAATGCGTGGCTTGGGGACGATAAACGCTGGCCACATGCGAAGTACAAGGTCGCAGAACCGCTGAGTGCGATCATTCGGCGTCTACCAACCACCAATTAAACAACCCTTCCATGCAGATGGATGGTCACTCGATACCTTGAACGGTCCCCGCATTTCGTTGTCAAACACCAAGCGAAATGCTTCGTACACAATGTGGTCATCCAAGATCTTGGGAAACAGTTTCAAGGCTGGCTCGCATGTATGCACTATAAGCAAGTGACTGCCTACATATGCCTCTACAACTTATCTAGAAAACGAACCTGACGATGGACTTTGAAGGTTCGACAGCACAGACATCATGAGCAGCATGTACTCTTGCAACATGGGAACAGCGCTGTAGGGAGCGACGACCGTAGACGGCAGTTGCGCGATTTGCAATTTTTCCTATATAATAATGGGAATTTCGATTTGTCAGGGGGGTGTCCAGTACCTGCACACTCAATTTCGGGATCTGTAAGCTCTTGATAGACAACATTGGTGGTGTGTAGGGTTTAAGCGCCTTGGCAATCGCTCGCCAGCCGTAGCGCCGCCGAGATATTTCGTCCTACCGTGAAGCACTCAGCCATTGAAACACTCTGATGGACAACAAACTTCGTCCAATTCGACGGGGTTTAGGATAGTGCCGCCGAAGAGAGGCTCTTCCAGTCGAATGATGTCCACAGTCGTCGATAGCAAATTCACCAGCGGAACCTTGGCCCAGCAGCAGGTCATTTCAATGCTAGTATCCGACAACGGTGGGGGCATCTCCTGTTGACTGCCATATGAGCCAGGCATGAATCAAATGCATAAAAGCGCTCTCATCTCGTACCTCTTTCGTCTGTTTTCGTTCTCTTCGCTTCATTTCAGACGCCGACTCGCTGACCAAGTCGACAATAAACTCGATAAACAGGTACAAGTCGTCCTTGGGGGCATTGGTTCGCATCTACAACCTGGTGAGACCCTTTGAATTGCGGATGTTTGGAGATATCTATCGCACAATGAACTTATAGTCGTCGGCCTTGGTAGACGACTTGGAGAAGTTCCACACGTCTTCTTCGCCCTTGTTCCACGCCACGGGGATCTCGTGGATGTTGCCGACAATGTTGCCACTCATGGGGCGGGCGCTCGACGCGGCCACCGTGCCAGACATGTCGCCGACATCGAAAAAGCACACGCGGACCTTCCGCCCGACTACGTCCTGCTGCCGCTTGTCGTACGGTGTCGGCACCCCCTTGGCTTGCTTCAGCGACACAATAGCCTGGCAATGCTGCGCCTCGGACTTCTCAACCCCCAGCCACGCCTCCTAACACCCCCCCCCCACACATGAATCGTCGTGACAAGACACTTCTATGTGTGTGAGCCCCTAGCGATTGTTGGTTTCTACCTGGGGGGGTTGGGCGGGGACTGTGACCAAGTTGCCCGCTTGAGCCATGTTGTAAATCACCTGTCAGGATGATGATGTCAAGTCGTGAATGAATATATAGTATATCTAGCTTTATGATAGATATATAGTGTCTCTACGATACCTCTGGCGGGGGAAACGACAGCACGTATTCCATCGTGTGCTTGCGCATGCGGACAGCGGTCGAGGTCACGGACGGTCGAAAGTTGGTCGGGACTCCCAGGAGCATCAACAGACTCGATTCAGGGTCCACTGGCGCCCTTCGAACGACTTTTTTCATGGCCGACAGCGCCGCTCTTGGAATGCCCCGCGTCGCATCGTTGTGGTAGCCCGCCGTCGACACCTACCCCCCAGCCCCTTCCCCGTCATTCGTTTACACATATATTCCGAAAGCCCAACTTACATCTTGGACCACCTTCATAAACGAGGTAAACTCGTGCAAGTCGATGGTGCCGTCGTTGTTGGTGTCCACTTCGTCAAGGAGTGCGTAGAACTCGTCCTGTGTCAGTGGCACCTTCATCTGCTGCAGCAATGCGTGCTGGAACTCGGCAATATCCAATGCGCCGTTGTGGTCCGTGTCCATGTGGTCGAAAATTGCGCTCACGTCCATTTCAGTTTGAGCGTTGAACGCCCACTGTTTGGTGCGCAGCCGCGTCTTCATCATGAGGTAAAACTCGTCAAAATCGATCTGGCCGCTGGCATCCATGTCGACCTGCCGCATGATCTCGTGTAGTTCATCTACCGTCACGTCGTCCCCCACAGCTCGTAGAATGTGCCCAAGTTCGTCCTTGTCTACGGGTGGGTGTGCAGTGTCAAGCCAGTTAAGTTTGACACGAGCGTGCACAGTATAGTCGACAAAACTGTACCAATCGAGTTGCTATAGTCGACGTCGAAGAAGTCAAACGCCGTGCGAAGCGCTGCCTTCATGTGCTCAAAGTACTCTGCGTCCGACGCGTTCGAGTCGGTGCTGGAATCCCTCCGATGTTTGTGGCTCTTGTGCTTTGATTTCGACCTTGCCCGATCTTTGAACTTGCGCAGGTCCGACACACTCATGCCAGACGATGGCGCGTCGTCGCCGTCATCCGACGATTGGACTGGCGCTCTTGGCTTTTTCTTCCTTGACGGTTTACCTCGCTGAAAGGCTTTGCGAGGCGACGAGGACTGTACGCTACTTGTAGAAGACGAACGCTCGTGGGGACTACTCGATAGTTTTGTTGGTTGGTAGGTATGATATGGCCAAAGGACCAACTTGACGCACCGTGATGTGTGATTACGTTTGGACGGCGACGATGTTCGCACAGGACTTGAGTCGTCTGAACCGTCCGATTGGCGTTGTGGTTTCTTTTTGTGCTTTGTCTTCTTTGCCTTCTTTCGCCTACGCTGGACATCAAGCCACTGCCATAACTTGCTTAGCAACGTACGGCGACGAATGGGTGTCCGAGGTTTCATCTGCTGCCAACGCCGCCTTTTGCTTATTCAATTTTCGCCTACAGTAATGGGTTGGTTATGAATACTGGTACGTACGCGCACTGTCTTACGGTGATGTCTTGGAAGGCGACACTGCCTCGTCGTCGTCACTTGTGGCATATTGTCCCCCTTTCTTGGCCCTAAGCTCAGCGAGTGTTGAACTAGGAAGTTTCAGGCTGTGACATACTTTTGAGCATGGCCTCCCTTTGCTGATTTCGTTGGACTGGACCGTGACGTCTTGCTAGTTCTACATATACACAAGGTAATGCATCAAACTCCAACTTGTGTACTCGACGAACGTACTGCTTCTTTTTGCGTGAATCCGAATAATCGTCATCGTCATCGCTGCTGTGGTTAGTGGTTTCGACTGGCTTGGAATGTTCTTTCTTCTTGGGGGTCCTATTATCATGGAAAGCCAAGTACTTTGTAAAGCCATAACTTGTCGATATGACATGAACCGGTGATACTTTGTAGTTGTTGGTGTCTTTGGCTTGTCCCTGTCACTAGACTCGACGGCGCCTGTCTTTGATTTGTTCGATCTAACATTCCATAGATCATGCGTTTAGTAGCTAGTATTCACTATCTCGACGAACTGTACTTCATAACCTTCAATAATAGATCAAGAAAGCCACGTACGACTTCGTTGTGGGGGGGTCGCTATCCGACTCGCTCGACACATGCCGTTGTTTCTTGGAAGGTTTGGCTGATTTGGGACTGAACAGACTACACATATTGTTAGGTCCCCATCCAGCGGCCAAACACCGCCAGGTTCTAGTACTGTTTAATCGTGGCCAGTGTCTTCTTGGCTGTTTTACGGTCAGACTCGTCCTTATCTTCGTCGTCATCTACTCCTTCGTTCTTCCTGCGTTGCCGCCCCGCCAGTTTCTTCACTTTGCCCCACCTCCGGACTATCCGGTTTCGAAACGATTCGGTTTCCGCCCCACTTGTTTCCCTACACCACGAAATCCTATTGGTTTCGTTCCATGTCAAAAACTGTAAAGTGCTTACGACTTTGCATCGGACTCGTCAGTGTCTGGGGCGACTGCAAACGCTTGGGCAAACTCGGCATACTCGATGCGATCGTCGCCGTTCATGTCGTACTCGTCGACTAAACACCGGATTTGTGTGTCTGTCAACGGGAGCGACAGGCCGCGGAGGGCAGTTTGGAACTCGTTGCGTGTTATGTACCCGCTGTCGTCGTCGTCAATGTCTTCAAAAATCTGCTTGAGACTCAAATTGCATTGCTTTTTCGCCTTGTGGAACAGTGCCTTGACATGCATGTGCAAGTCGGCGACATTCACATGTAGCTGCGGCTGGACCCATTTGGCAAAGTGCTCATAGTCGACCCCGACGTCGTCGTCGTGGGCGTACTCAAACTCGAAATGCGACGCCACAAGCTCCACTTCCTTGTCAGTCAGGTTGAACGTCACGGTCTTGTTCGATTTCAAATACCCCCGAAACACACGGGGCTTCAACCGCCATCGATCGTTCTTGTCCAGTTTGCGCAGTTCGTGCATCATATTGAACGGCTGCTTCGAGTCTGAATTCTGGTTGTTGTACGTGTCGATTGCAAGGCGCATCTTGTCCCCCACGGCGCAAAGTTTGTCTGAGTCGGGCGTGCTCACGGCAAAGTCGGCAAATCCGTAGTAGTCGACCCGGCCATCCTTTCGAAAGCAGTCGATGACGGCATTGAGTTGGTCTTTCTGGAGTTTGATCCCGAGCTTCTTTGCCACGCACTTGGTGAACTCCGGAGGGTCCAGTAGCCCCGATTCGTCCGTGTCGTACTTTTCAAACACAGCGCACAGTTCCGTGGCGCTGATCTTGCGTTTGCCTCGAACGGCGTGGGCGATCGCGTCGAGGGTCGCAGAGGTTAACAAAGTCGTCCTTGTCGTCTTTGGCTTGGATTTGCTAGGTCTGGGGGACTTGACCGGGTGGTTCTTTTGCTTCCGACGTGTTGCTTCGTCGCTACTACTATCGCCGCTGCCATCGCTGCCATCGACGGGTTTGGAAAACGCCTTGGCAAACTCGTCGTACTGGATTTTCCCGTCACCGTTCAAATCGTACTCGTCGACAAGACATTTGATTTGGCCGGATGTGAGGGGAAGCCCCATGCCGCTGAGGGCGTCGCCGAGCTCCATGCGCGTCACATGTCCCGACCCGTCGTCGTCGATATCTTCGAAGATGGCTTTCAAGCTCAACATGTGACCGTCTTTCTTGGCTTTTGCAAACAATTTGGACACGTGCTTGTGCAGATCGTTCGTGTTGTAATGCAATGACGGCTGCAGCCACTTGGCGACTTGGTCGTAGTCCACCCCCGCACTCTTGTCGGCGTACTCAAACTCGAACCGCTCCGTGAGCCTCGTGGCTTCCTGTTCTGTCAAGCCAAACTCGATCCGTGGATTCGACTCGACATATTCGCGAAACACATTCGGTTTCAATCGCCCAGTGTCGCGCTTGTCAAGTGATTGCAAGTCCTCGAGAACGTTGAACGGCTGTCGATCGGTGGACGACGCATCGTACTGCTTAATCGCCCGGCGCATCTTGTCGCCGATAGCCGCCACCTTGGCCGTGTCGGGGATGTTGGTAGCAAAATCCACAAATCCAACATAATCAATGTCTGCGGTGGTCTTAGACTTGGACGACTTGAATGATTTGCCCTTGCGAAAGCACTCTACGAGCACTTTCAAGTGCTCCGACTTGAGTTTAATCCCGAGCGATTTCCCCACAACTTTAGTGAATGTGGCCTCGTCGATCAGCCCCCCCCCGTGGTCGCCTTTGTCGTACTTTTCAAAGGCATGGCACAAGTCGGCCGGACTGAGCTTCCGCTTCCCCCGCACCGCGGTGGCAATGGCTTCTTCCGCCGCCACTGGCACCAACCTCGTCGCCTTCGTTTTGGGGGCATCTTTTTTCGTGTTGTCGTCTTCACTTTCATCTTTCGAAGACGATGTTGCTTTCGATCCAAACGCCGAGGCAAATTCACTGTACTGGATGCGTCCGTCGCCGCTCGTGTCGTACTCGTCCACGAGGCAGTATGCCTGCGCTTCCGTGAGCGGCAGGCCCATCACGTGAAGCGCTTGCTTGAACTCGCTTCGGTTGATGCTGCCGCTGCGGTCGTCGTCGATGGCATCGAACACGTTTTTGAGACTCAACTGGTGCTCGTTTTTGGCCTTCTGGAGCAGCATACTCACTCGTGTATGCAACTGCTTGACGTTTACATTCAACGCCGGCTGCACCCACGTCGCGAGCTGCTCGTAGTCGACCGCGAGGTTGGATGCTTTGGCTGAGTCAAACTCAAACTCAAAACGGCCCACGAGGAGCGCTACCTCCTTCGACGTCAGCTCAAAGTCCACAGAACCATGAGACGACTCCAAGTACCCCCGCACCACGTCCGACGAAAGCCACTGGCGCTCCTTCTTGTCCAACTTCCGAAGCGCCCCGCCCAGATTGAAGGGCTCGTTGTCATGTTTTGCGTTCTTGTCATGGCGGCTGATGGCTCGACGCATTTTATCCCCAATAGCCGTCAACTTGTCCGTGTCTGGGATGTTGATGGCATAGTCGACAAACCCGTAATAGTCCACCACATCCTTCGTTTTGGACTTTTGGTTGGGCCGCACGCGAAAACACTCGACAACTTGTTTCATTTGCGCCGATTTGAGTTTCAGACCGAGTTTCCCCACACATTTGGCAAACGTCGCGTCGTCCAGATGGCCCAGTTCGTGAGTGTCGGACTGTTCAAATACAGCACAGAGCACTTTCCCACTGAGTCGATGGCCATCTTTGCGCACGACTGCTTTTTCAATCGCGGTTTGTGTCGCCACGGGAATGAGTGGTCGTCGTGCGTCGTCGCGTTGTTTGGGTTGCTTCTTTTTCTTGTTCATGTCATGGTTGCTGCTGTTGTCGTTGTCGTCGCTGTCATTGACGTTTCCTGAGGTGGAGCGCTTGGCGGCAAACGCCGACGTAAACTCGCTGTAGTCAATTTTGCCGTCCCCATTCACATCGTACTCGTCGACTAAACATTTGATTTGCGTGTCTGTGATGGGCAGCCCCAAGTTTCTCAACGCTTCCTTGAGTTCGCTGGCCGTGACGTGGCCGCTGTCGTCGTCGTCAATTTCTTCAAAGATGGTCTTGAGGCTCAGATTGCATTCGGCTTGGGCTTTGGCAAACAAGCGCTTGATATGGACATGGAGCTGGGCGACGTCCACATGCAACGATGGCTGCAACCACGTGGCGAATTGCTCGTAGTCGACACCGCTCGTTCCTTTGTCGTCTTCAAACTCAAAGCGCTCAGTGACCGCCGACACTTGTTTCATCGACAGCTCAAACTCAATCGATCGATTCGACTCGAGAAAAGTTCGAAAGGCGTCCGGCGAGATTCGACCGCGCTCTTTCTTGTCGAGTCGCCGGAGTTCGTCCATAGCATTCCACGGCTGCCGATCGTCCGCCTTCTTGTCAAACGAAGCGATGGCACGACGGAGCTTGTCACCCACGGCCACCAAGACGTCGGTGTCGCGCTCTTGGATGGCAAAGTCCACAAACGCATAATAGTCTATGTCTGGAGCGTTCTTCTTCTGCTTGACTTCGCGACGAAAGCAGTCGGCCAACGACTCAACTTGGTCCGGCTTCAGCTTGATACCAATTTTGACCAGCCCCTTGGTGAACGAGGCTTCGGTGAGCAGACCCACCTCGTGTTCGTCGAGCTTTTCGAACGTCTGGCACAGCTCCGTGCTGCTGACCTTGCGGCGCTCCACCACCGCCTTTGTGATGGCGTGGAACACGGCCGTGTCGAGGACTCTGCTTTGCTTGTTCTTCTTTGAGCTCTTGTTCTTGACGATAATTGCAGCAGGTCTGTTCGTGCCTTGTTCATCCCCGCTAGAGTCTTTCCTCAGCGCTCGCTTCACGAGCGTCTTCAACATAGTTACCGCGAAAGGTCGCGGGGGTGCAATATGATTTTTGCGAAGTTCAACAATACGGATATTTGTATTTTATCCGGATCAACGTTACTCGACTACGTACAGTACTGTAGTCGGGGGGGGAAGTTCCTCGCTAGCATCATGTCTCGACACCTCAGGTCAGGAGTGAGCGGCCAGTGGGGACCGACTGGCGGCGAGTTACATTTGTTAGTGGTGGTGGTCCAAGTCGATTTGGTGACATGGTTGTCATCATAGTTCGAATTCGATGGCGTACGCCGGGCGCTCCCCGGTACTTGTACTCCCCACCCTGACTTTAGCTAACGTTACGGCAGTTCCGAGGTCCCGTTGGTACAGTTCTGAGGGCCGCACGGTTCAGCAGGCACCAAATTCAAAAGTGCACGTTAGGACATGGCCATGTATTGAAACAATAGTGAGGTAGCTTGGATGCAGTATAGTCATACGAATTCCAAGTGAATATCGGAATATCAACGCCTGTCATAGCAAGTACTATTATTAATAATAGTAGTACGAAATATCAGAGGCACGTTGAAGACTTTTGAAGAAGGTAACATGGATAACGCCGACGTAGCAATCGATTCTTCCAGGAAGTCCAAAGCCAGCAAGCCATACATTCCATCTCCATCCACTGGTCAAAAGCAGTATACTACTTACTCGACGGTGTACTGTATGTACTTGAAGATCAATAACATCGTCAACCCGAGCAGTCGGGATGGTCATGCAATGGCCAGGGGTACTCTAGTTTCAGGACGTCCTGTACTGCGACACGACCTAGCTCCGAGTGTCCATATTGCCCTGCACACGCTAATGATCGTGATCTTTGTACGGGGGGGCTGACTGGGGGGATCTAGCGCTACATTCACCTTCGCCACCTTCGTCGGGCTGGTCGATACAACTAACTACGTGTCCTTACACATGTGGTTGTCCCTGCTAGTACAGCAAGACGTGATCGATCTGTGACGTTCTGCCTGCGAATCACTCCAACAAGCTACCAAAGAAGAGCTCTATCGTTGAAGCAATTCCGCGAATCCTACTGCTGTCAACAACTTTACTCTTAATCATCTCCAACACTGTTCAACTTCGGCATTCTGGTCATCTCTGTGACATGAGCGATTTGTATAAGAATAGCAGACCAGGTATGTATTTTAATGGGTAGACAACCCTCACACTTTGGACCTACAAGAGGTCGAAAAAGTAATCGAGCCCTACATGTGATGGTGAAAACGACCCAAAGCTCTCAGCACAATCAAATGCAATAAGGAGGGCATACATACATACATACCTTGTCCAATGTCCCAGATCGCAGCCCCAGTTTGCGCCGACAAGTACAAGTCCAGCCGGTCTTGGATCGATTGCAGGCATGGATAATACACGATATGCTTGACAGGGTAGCGGAAATAACATTCCTAACAAATCATAACGACTGAGGTGTGATCATCCACTGCATCATGTACAGACATGCGCCGAGTCATCCCATTCGATAGCAGGGTGATGGGCGTCGAGCAGTTCACGATACTTGGAAGCCACAATTGCTTCTAACATGGAGCACTCTCAATCGACATTGCCCATATTTACATCACGAGCTTGCCATTGGTGTCGTAACCATAGAAAGCCAACCCCATGAGAAACTTGGCGTTGTTTTGGAATGGCTTCAACGCTTCGAGCGTCGCTTTCAGCCATGGCAGCGGAGAGTTTGGGCCAGTGGTCGAGTAGTCGTATGCGTTCACAGACAACCGATGCACAGACGGGAGCACCCTTTGCGAAACAACTCGGATGAAATCCTAGCATTTGGACATGGTTCAGTCCGTACTTGGCAATCAGGTCTGTGGACGTGGTCAGTTGGCCCTAATACAGCCAACAAAACCAAGTTGCATCAGTATGTGCTGAAGCAACGACGGACTAAACCCTTCGTACGTTGCGCTGGCTTGTAGGCAGCACGAGGATGAGAATGCAGCCGTCCGATTGCAATGCTTGGCCCAGCGACGTAATGAATTCCACAGTGACTCCTAACACTGGAATCTACCCACTATGAGGGTAGTAGTCATCCTTATAAGCTAGGCCCAACCTCGAGGGTGATGCCATCAAAGCGTTGATCCTTAACTTCGCTGCGAATCAAAGAGATGATGCGTTCGGCTTCTTGTGGGGACAGCGAGTTCATCTCAAACATGAAGCGAGGCACGATCTGGGGACCACTCGTGTCGTCTCCCCGTACAGCAGTCATCCACTCCAAGTCGACGTCGTGGCCCCCAGTCAATGCTGGCTTTCGCTTGTCGTTGTGCCGAATCTAATCACCATGTTTCAACCATCGAGGGCGTCCATGAAAACGAATGGAGGACCTGATACCACACGGGGGCAATGTACGTAAACTTGCTTCGAAAGAGCTTGGCGGTGTTGTACCCGTGATTGTTCCAAGGGGTCACGTAGCCAAGTGTGTCGCCGTGGAAGCGCTTGGTGAGGACGTCCGAACCATACTGTTTCTCTTCCTACGTGGATTGCTAAGATAGGTGCACATATAGTCCCTGGACACTTGCTTGGAGGATGGAATCGTAGGACGGGGTGCGTTGGAGCAGTCCGCGCTCGAGGACCGACGGCATGCCGCAAGACGTGGACCCACCGGTAGCGTCACATGTGCCGTCTGTGTCCTATTACACGCTCGTTGTTACATCAACCATGAACGCGGTGATTTATTCATACCCCTGCATGGACACCAACGTAATGGCCATAGAGGCCATAAACGGCTGCTGCTGCGAGAAGGATCACTGTGCCGCGCATCCTTGGCATGCTTGCAAGAAGGGTTGCCAAGATTATCCGGATAATCATTCCAAGGCCAAATCTGAAACCAATTTTGCAACACCCCAAGCATAAACTCATCCTTGTCGATGGCTCAAGCGGCGGCGATCGACACCTTTTCCTTGGACGATGGAGGCTGCGAGGTGTAGTAGATCACATGGAGCGATGACTCATGCTTGTCTGATGTAGGATTTGGATGCGGAAGTGTCCATGTATGTAGTAGTTCCTTCACTCCGAATCCATCAAAACAGCTGAACGTCCTGCATTAGCAAGTCACCTCGGTCAGGACAGCGGCAGTTGACGTTTTCGGTCGACCTGTTGGAGAAGCAAGAGCATATTCATGAAGTCGTTCCTTTACAACGGACTTGTCTGACACGTGCATGTGTATAGAGCGTGTATGTCCCTCCCGAAGCAGGGGACCTGCGTGTCTTTGGCGTCATGCGCATCGTCCATGGTTGCATTGCACATGGCGGCCATCTCGCACCCAACTTGTACGCGCCGCGCGAGATATGGTACGTCTCTCATCCCGAGAAGGCACGAACTAACGACGTCCAGGGCACTCGACCGCGTGCGACTCGTTGGGCTCGACCACAAGCTTCGGCTCTTGGAGGTGTGCGCCACCCAGTTTAAGATCCTCGAGGTACATAGGAAGCTTTAAGGCATCATGTGTGACGGCACCATGTCTAGGCCATGCCGGCGCCCAACTCTACCGACAACCAATCGATCTTCGACCACGCCCTGCACAACATCACGTTGTCGCTGGCCGAGTCCAAAGCCGACCTCGTCCGCCCCTTTCCCAACCTCGTGCCCGAGTCCCACCCAAGTGTTCATGAACCGACCAAGGTACGCAACCAGCATCGAATATCCGTTGTGTATAAATAATAAATAAAAGTAATATATATATATATATAGATAAATATATATTTGAGTTTTTAAATTTAATCATACGTTTGTAGTTGCAATCGATATTGACTAGTACCATGATAGATTTTTTTACTAAAAACTATTAACAATCATATTCGTTTTTGAAATATTATGTCTATATTAGATCGAACGAGACATTGTCAACGCCGTGGGCAACAACACAATGGGCAAATTGACCAGCCTCGCGTTTGGGTTTGGTCGGACACTGCGGAAACAAGCCGTGGCGGTCGTGGAGCGCGCCAACTCGGCGCAGTTTGAGACCATGTACGTAGTATATATTTTTATTATATTCTTTTTTCTGAAAAATAATAAAATTCGAGCTAGTTCCAAGGACGCGTTGGGTCGATACGCGGGCCTCCTGAGTGCTTTTTTCGACCAAGTGCAGTTTCTAGGTACGTTGTGTGGTGTATTCATTGTCCCTCTGTTTAACGACATGAGCAGCCATTTGGCTCGACCCCTCGTACGCCCCACCCCTGGGTTTAGCAGCCTCGTTCTCTGAGGAGGAGCTAGTTCGACATCGAGCCATTGGACACACGTTGGAGGCAACTGCCCGCCGTGAGATCGTCCTGGGTCTGGGTACGTAATACCTTGTAGTTCTACTATGGACTGATCTTCTAGCGCACTTCTTGGAAGAGATTCTGGTCGAGTTGGTCCTGCGAGACGTCCAGAGTCTTCTCTTGAGCTACTTGCAGCGCCTTTCGCATGCGTTGGGGGCGTTCTCAATCGATTCCGCCATCACGACACGACCCCATCGCGCCCAAACGACGTAGAAATGTGAGATGAGCCACTTTAACCTTTAAACACGATACTGTATCGGTCTCGACCGTTCAATTTTCAATCTCACGCTAGTTAGTTCCTCTGTTTAATTTTACACTTATAGTAATTCGAAGGAAAATAGAGCAAAAATGGTTCAATTTTTTCGATAGAAATTATGCAGTGTCAAAGGTGAGTATTTAGCATTCGCGCTTACATCCGTAACGTTATACTAGTACAAGATACAAGTTGAACGAGGGTATCATCCTCGTTATTACTGTAGTACCGCCTGGATCGGGCACGGTCAATACAAATCGTAATATAAATATAGAATAATGTGCATTTCGAGAAATACTATTAGCTAATATTACGTACACGGAGAGGTGCTATTATTACCAAATGAGAAATGTACACTGTAGCCCGGAACAATTCTAATTGGACAAAAAGGTCCGTTTCCTTGAACGAACAACACTGCTGTATTATGTCTTGGAGTTTAACGCATAAGTTTTATTCATGAAAGTTTCTCTATTGGTCGCCAGGCTTCAAATGTGTCCAACGGTTCAACACATATAAAGTATTTTTGACGACTTCAAAGTATATTCGAAGCCGAATTGCATCAACATATTAACTGTAAACCTTCCCTGTTATACTAGAAGTAGTAACTTACCTGTTCGAACGAATGATTTATTAGAATCTTTTCGCAGTTTTTTATTGACCAACTGCATTGAAAATAGATGAAATCTGATCCAGACAGACCCCTAGTATGTATGTACTAGTACTCCATAATCTCGAATTGAAATCGTGACCTGTGTGTTGGGTCAAGTTTTGAGCTTGTGGGCGATTAAGATTATTGGGCGTTGGTAGCTTCGAGCGCAGGGATAAATGAAGTTACAATAGTAATTTGTTATTGGTATACTAGTATCGTGTAGATCAAGCAATGAAGAGTTAATACTGTACTGTATCACAGATCGTCAGACTGGACTTAGCATTATCGTGGATCGTCATGCATAACGTTAATGAAGATGTGGATATTCGAATGAAAATATTACCGTTTATTCCTGGTAACCGTAGCAATCAAAACAAGAATGTGTCTTGACTATTCGTTCCAACTCGAACGATACGTGTCGGTGGTTTTGATTGGTCGACAAGTGCACTTCCACCGTTCGAAAGGTCACACGTTTGGTTTATTTCCAATGAGGGAAGACCAATTTTGCATTTGCATTCTATCCCCCACATCCATCATGGCAGGGTACGCGTCCATCAGCCTCCGCGATGAGTCCACGCCTTTGACGCCTCGCGGTCGAACCAAGCAAGCGGCGTCGTCGTCTTCGTACAAGCTGCTGCTGGGGTTGGTTGGCGGGCTCTGTTTCGTGGTGGGATCGACGCATTTGCTGGCTCCGCTGGCATTGACCTACCCTTCTACCGTGTCCAACTTGCACAAGTCAACGACCGAATCTGCCTCTTCATCGATCCACCTTCACCACCCCGAACGTAAGGTCACCAAGAAGCCCAACGCCACCGACGACGACGACGAGCTGTTCTGTGGGATTGCCCGCCAAAAGTCTGGTTACATCAAGCTGCCGCACAAGGAAGACGACCATTACTTTTATTGGTTCTTCGAGTCGCGTCGCAACAGCAACACCGACCCCCTCGTCTTGTGGCTCACGGGAGGGCCAGGATGTTCGAGCATGATGGCGCTGCTCCATGAAAACGGTCCATGTGTGATAGACAAGGACCTCAGAACCCAGCTGAACCCGCTGTCGTGGAACAACATTGCCAACATGCTGTGGCTGGACCAGCCCACGGGCGTCGGGTTTTCCTACGGCGCGTCCGAGGACTTTGATTCGAACGAAGACCAAGTGGGCGAGAACATCTGGAACTTTCTCCAGGGCTGGCTGCGCGAGAACCCGTCGTTTATCGGCCGCGACTTTTTCATCGTTGGCGAGTCGTACGGTGGCCATTTTGTGCCCGCGGCTGCGCATTCGATTTACACGCAAAACAAACTCTCCAAGGGGCGGCACATTCCCCTGCAAGGCATTGCCATCGGCAACGGACTCACGGATCCGTTGGTGCAGGTATGTCCTACTTACGATGCAGTTAAATTTAGTCGTGTTGCATCGTGGAACGTTTGACGAAACGCGATGGTGGCCTTGGGATTTGGAAACCTGTTTTCGTCTCATCATTGGACATGGGTGTGTGTAGTACGCCCACGCTACGGACATGACCACCAACGCATACAACTTGACGTTGGTCTCCGACAAGCAAAGGGACGAGATGAACGCGCTTGTCCCCGAATGCATTCGGCTGATTGCCTCCTGCCAGAATGACTCGACCGTGTGCGACGATGCGCTCGGGTTCTGCCATGGGAACCTCGTCACACCACTGTTCACCACCACCTCACGCAACCCGTACGACATCCGGTTGGACTGCCCCGGCCAGCAAGGGGTGGGGTGCTACGACTTTAGCTACATCGAAGCGTTTTTGAATGCCCCTGGCACCATGGCCAAGTTGGGGGTGAACACAGACCGCGTGCCCGTGTGGAAAGAGTGCAATTTCGACATTAATCAACAGTTCTCGCTGGATTGGATGAAGGTGTACTCGCAACTGGTGCCCCCATTGTTGGAAGATGGGATCCGAGTGCTCATTTATGCTGGGGACGCCGACTTGATGGTCAACTGGCAGGGCAACGAAGCGTGGACGCTGGCGCTGCCATGGTCCGGCCAACGCGAGTTCAAGCGCGCCACGGAAAAACCCACGTTGTTTCAAGGCAAACAAGTGGGATACTCGCGGTCGTACGAGAACTTGGCCTTCTTGCGCGTGTTCAACGCAGGCCATATGGTGCCTATGGACCAGCCTGAAGTAGCTTTGGCGATCGTCGATAGTTTCTTGCGTAACGAAGAGCTGTAAATTGAATACTCTGTACTTGAAGTAAATCCCAACTTGAAGTGTATATCAACAAGACTATACATGCAACAACTGGAGGCGTGATGATACTCGTTAGCGAGTTGTCCAGCATGACAGCCTGTCATGACAGGCTGGGTTTTTTATCGAGGATTGAGAAGTCCGTAAGCTCGAGCGGGCGGTGGAGCAAGTGGGTTCAGGGGACGTGAAGTGACGCACAGTATCTGAAGCTCCTTTTGATACGAAGTCGACGGTTTGTGTTCCTTCCCAGGGCTATGCAACCAGCGATCAAGGTACAGAGTTGCTTGGAAGTTATGTCAGCGTCGGTGGGATCTGATGTGCGACGTTGGAGTGAACATGGATACATCTTGTGTTTGCAAAGGGGACTAACGTTACTATCATCTGGTGCCCCGCTTTCAATTCACATTGAGGAAAAAGGGTTGTTGGCTCATGGACATGAGAAGGATGGTTGCATTGCTCAATGGGTGAGGTATTTTTTCAGCCCAGCGAGCGGCAGATCGATCGATCGATTGTTCAGCGTACTGTACAGTGTATATATTCTGCAGTGGTCAACTAAGACGTTTTTGAGCGACATGCACCGCTTCGTCAACATTTCCCATTACTCCGCCATTACGAAATAATACAGTACTGCAGCTGAAATAGCCAGTCAACGAAACGACATCAACGTGAATTCTGTACTGTATTACGTACGGTACGACAGTGTATTCTGAGCGGTAAAGTGCACACTGACTCTACCACAAAACCACCTGTCAACATAACGAACCAATGGCATCGCGTGAAATGGCACCTAATTCGCAGCGACCCCAAAACTCTGCGCATCATCCTCGCACTTCTGGTCCAGCCACCAACACCCAAATGACCGCCCGATATCCACCTCGCGGCGAACTCCGCACGGACTTCCGGCAGCATGTGTCCACACCCGAACCCGACATAGCGTCGGGAGCCCCCATCGTCGTCAACTTTGAAACCGCCCACAACCGATCGTCCATTAATTCGTCGCAGAGCAGCCAGCCACGCCGGACCTCGTCCCGGCACCAGAACATGCCGCTGCCTGTGCCCGTCGAGCGCACCGTATTTGAAACGGACGTGGCGATTCTCGGGGCGTCCCAAAATCACACGTCCAAGCCCCAAGAGCTCAACGACGAGTACTATGCGTACCTGTGGACAATCGAAGGCGCGTGGTACAAGAAGCTATACTTTGGTATTTGGGGCATCGTAATTGCCATCGTGCTGGGCATTCTCGTCGCGTTTGTGATTGACGAATCGACGCGCATCGACGTGGATTTTACAAACCTCCGCGAACAACCCAAGCAGTTTGTGCTGGCGCAGTACAAGAAAGCCGTGGGCCTCCTCGTATTGAAGCGCAGCATCAACGAATGGATCGGGCTGCCGGGGGACCTCCTTATTCGCGGCCTCTCTTGCTTGATCGTGCCGATGATCTTTGTCAATGTGACCATCGGCGTCGCCGACATTTATTCGCTCAAAAAAGGCAAAATGGTCGGCTGGCGCATGTTCGCCCTGTGTCTGCTCACGACCGTGCTGGCAGTCGGCCAAGGCATGACCATCTCTGCGATCCTCCCCGACGACCTCTTCCAGGTCGCCACAAAGCTCCAGAGCCCTGGCAATGCCAAAAGAATAGTCGACATGAACGGCACTAATATGACGAGCGTGAACCCCCCAAGCACCAAGTTCGGCCCGCCAGTGTCCGTGACCCTCCGGTGTCCACTCAAAGCGGCCAACGCCTCCGAGTTGTTCATGAACACCGCGGTTGATCCGCTCACCAACGTCACCCGCATGGTGTGCTCCCCCAATATGGCCACCCTCGCCCTCACTGACATCAACAACACATTCAAGGCGTCAGTCAACTGGAATGTCCGGCCCCCCACCGTCGCTGCTGTGTTCTTCAACCTCACCGACAAGCTCGTGACCGACAACATTGTCGGCGCATTCACCAAGGACGGGTCGCTTGTCAGTCTTGTGATGTTTGCGATCCCGCTAGGCGTCGCGCTCGCTACGCTTGGAGTCAACAACCCCGTGATCGACCTCTTCCGTCAACTCAACAGCATCTTTCTCATTATGATCGGATGGGTGATCAATTTCGTGCCGGTGGCCGTCGTATTTCTTGTGGCGTCGGCGTTCCTCGTGCCAGAAGACCCGACGTTGCCCGTCGACGTGACGACGTCCACCCACGACATCAACGATCCGGTCGGGTACGAGCGGCTGCTGCTGATTATGCCGCAGATCAACGTCCGGTCATCTTCGTTTTTTGAAAACTTGGGCGACGACTTCAAGCCCCCGCTTGCGCTCATCCTTATCTTCGTGCTCGGGTCGGCGCTCCACATGCTAGTGGTGCTGCCAGCCCTGACGTTCGTCTGCACCCGACGCAACCCGTTCGCGTACATGATGCAAATGAGTCGCGCGATCAACTTTGGCTTTGGCTGTGGGTCGTCCTTAGCGGCCCTCCCCATCACCGTGAAAGCCATCGACAACTCCCAGACCGTGTCGCATCAGCTCACGCGCTTCCTCCTACCCATCGGTACGGGCATCCATCTCGACGGCGCCGCCTTCTACTTGGCCGCGTGCACCGTGTTCCTGCTGCGGACGGAATACCTCGGCCGTGTCACCACTGACGTCAACGACACCATCGCGTTGACCGTCAGCCGAGTGCTCATCATGTTCTTCACTTGTGTCATCAACTCGTGGAGTTGCCCGCCGCTGCCTCATGGCGCCCTCGTCGGGCTCATCAGCGTGTGGGCGTCGATGGGGGTGATGGAAGGAGGATCCGTCGTGAACAAGCCGACGTATTTTGTGTGGATCGTCGCCATGGACGTGCTGCTGGACCGGTTCTCGACCGTGATGAACATCATGTCGAACGCGCTCGTGATTCGCATCATCGCCGAACAAATCGATGAAACGTACATTGACGAGCAAGACCGACTCAACATGCATGCCCTCGACGACGCTGACGAGGACGACGACTAAGTACTTACTGGTGTATCAATATATATAAATGTACTGCACACGACCCTTCGATGTTTTCCTTGAGATGAGGACACACACTGGGCTTATCTACAGTGTACATACCACGGTACATACTGGTACCGCTCTGCTATGTACCTCGAAGTAGTAACTAGTCACTTCTAAGTGAACGCCGTACTGTGTAGTGTGGGCCAGACTACTGTAATTCTGTATCCACACCAATTACGGTTGAACGTTTATCAGGTTACTTCAAAGTAGTACTAGTACTAACGTTACCGTACCACAGTATTACTTCGAAGTATTTTACTGTTAATAGCATTACTGTACCATATGTATTCCATAGAGTAAAACAATCTAACTACTCAATACAAACAACAAGTTAAGAAAAACTAATTCTTAAACAGACTTTTGAATCTGGAGAGGATTTACAGTTAGAAATAGGACGCCCGTAAAAAAATAATTAAGACTTACGGGACAGCATTGAATATTAATACCAACCTTGGATACTATGGTTAATATAATATAATTGTTGAATTAAAAGCGTGGATGACATGTGGATGACATTTGGATGACATGGGATGAAATTGGATGAAGTTGTGGGATGATACCTAAAGTACAGTACCGGTAGCCTTACGTTGGCCCCGAGCGCCCGGGAGGCCGTTTGCGCAAGCGGTCCTTTATATGGTGTTTTTGTGTCCTACCACTACCTACCAAGTCCTACCATCCGAATCATTCAGCAGTTATTCGTACCCCCCGAAATACTTCGTGAAGCGGCACAGTGCCAACGAAGAACGTACGTACAGTAGTCCACCCACAGTTCACAGTCAACGGGCGCCGATTAATGCACCCCTGTAGAATTCACCAAAGACTGTCTTGCATACTACACTGTAATTAGGTCATCGCGTAAGGGCATAACGTTATTCATTTTTGCGACTGATTTATTGGACTGTGAATTCATTAGGGGTACTGTACCTGTGAAATACAGCTATTAATATTAAAATAATAGTAACTACAGTACAGTAGTAGTAGATGTCATCGAATCACAAAATTGACCATGGCATGTGATGGCTTTAATCGCGTGTACTTCACGCCGTCCATGGCTAGCCTTGTGGCGTCGTTTCAATGTGGACACTACCAAGACATGCTTCCGCTACGATATCTGCAGATCCCACCGCATCTCACGAGGGATGTGTATCCCAGAGACCTACGCTGGCTTGGCCACAGCGCTGAATCCGTGGTTGGTGGAACACGGATTGACACGGCTTCCACGGTTATTTGCTTGCCTTGAGGACATGCATGCCATCATGCTCCTTCATGGTGCGTACATGGGTCGCGTGGACGTCGTGGAGGTTGCGCTCAACGACTGCGGTGTGTCGCCTGCCATGACGATGTTGATGATCGACTTGGCTGCATGGAACAACCAACGTCTGATTCTCGACTATTTCCAGCAGCATCCACATGCCACTGGCTGGAAATGCTCGTCGTTTGCATTGGTCGCGGCAGCCAGAAGTGGCCATGTTCACATTGTTCGATTCCTCCACAGCCAGTTTCCATCGGTGCCGTGTACTGAAGACGCCATGGACATGGCTGCAGAAGGAGGGCATTTCAACATGGTGGAGTTTCTACATGTCCACTGGTCGGAAGGTGTTCGACACGAGCTATGAATGGCGCGGCCAGAAATGGCGATTTGGACGTTCTGCGGTTTCTGCATGCGAATCGAAGCGAAGGATGCACGGAGCTGGCAATGGATTTGGCGTGTGAGCATGGCCATTTGGATGTGGCCCGATGGTTGCACGAGCATCGGAGTTGGGAAGGGTTTACTGAGTGTGCGTTCGACAAGGCTGCGGGAAATAACCATATGGCCGTTGTGGAGTTCCTGCACTTTGAACTCGACGCGCCAAGCACCGAGAAGGCCATGGACTTGGCTGCCGAGAATGGGCACTTGGGGATGGTCCTATGGCTCCATGAGCACCGGTCGTTCCAAGGCTGCTCCGAACGAGCTCTGGGTATGGCGGCGGCCAAGGGCCATCTAGACGTGGTGAAGTGGCTCCACGCGAATCGAAGTGAAAGTGGTAGTCCTAGTGGGTTTGCTGGTGGTGCAGCCGCAGGAGGTTTGGAGATGATGGAGTGGTTGATGGCACATTGCCCTGACTGTGATTTGTACAAGGGAGCAATGGGGAAGGCATCCAAAGATGGGCTCCTGGAAGTGGTCCAGTGGTTACTGAGCCACGGACAAGAAGTGACTGAAGCTGCCGTCGACGACGCGTGTTTGGGTGGTCACATGGATGTGATTAAATGTCTGTTCCAACATCGCCCGAGCGCTTTCACGTCGGGCGCATTCCATAGTGCGATTGAAGGTGGCCATTTGGAATTGGTCAAGTGGCTGTATTATGACCTCGGCATCACGCACCGTGACGCGATGGAAGGGGCTGCAACGTATGGTCACTTCAACGTGCTCAAGTGGTTGCATGAGCTTAATTCGTTCACTGCAACGACATACGTGATGGACGAAGCGGCCTCATACGGCCATCTACAAATTGTCCAATGGCTTCACAGCCATCGACACGAAGGCTGCACCGGAGCTGCCATGGATGGCGCGGCGGCAAATGGACATTTCAGTGTTGTGAAGTGGCTCCATCGCTATCGAACGGAAGGGTGTACAATCGACGCCATGAATTTTACAGCTGCCATGGGTGACCTGACGATGGTGGAGTTCCTTCACACCCACCGAACCGAAGGCTGCACGTCCCATGCAATGGATTGTGCGGCGGCAAACGGACACTTGACAGCGGTGATGTTTTTGCACGCGCACCGAAGCGAAGGAGGCACAAACTATGGATTCGAGTGGGCAGTAATGGAAGGCCGCTTGGGGGTCGCCAAGTGGCTACACACGATACAAGGGCGGGCGGTTTCCAGAGGCACTCTCATGTTCGCCGCTCGTAACGGAGACTTGGCGGCGATGCGGTGGGCCTTGCTCCATTCGTCAGAAGATATAAGTGGCGTCCCGTTTGCAGACTATGCAATTGACGAGGGGCGGCTATCGATGGTACATTTGTTGCTGGACATGGGTTGTACGTGGACGATGGGGGCGATGGATCATACGGCAGAACGTGGTCACTTGGCAATCTTGATCAAGTTACAAGGCCATTGGATGTATCGTTATGTCAAAGCGATGCAAAATTTGATTGCAATGTACTTGGAAGCGGTCGAGGCGGCTGGTGGCCTCAGAGACGCCGAGCCACCACCGAGCAAAAGACAGTGTTTATAGAAGTAGGAACGTCCATGGACCTGGTGAAGTGCACAGAATACGACCATATAGGAATGCTACTGTACGAACAGTTATACCGACGGTATTCCTACTTCAGTTGAAAACGACGTACAATTTGGTACTCCGAGTACTTTTCGGTTCGCAAAGTAGCGATTGCATATTGGGCCACCGAGGTGCAGCACATTATATATAAATGAGTTGAGCAATAGGATTGATATTCATCGTAGCTGGTACTAGTATTGGCGTGCATTGTTTGAGCGGGGGTGGATTGGTGTGGTACAGTAAGCCCATTTGGATGTCCTGCGCTTTGATTTAAGGGGCTCCTCCAAGTTAATGCAAATCGAAGCGAAGTCTGCACAACCCAAGCCGCGGACATTGCTGCGACAAAAGGCCACTTGTCAGCGGTGATGCTTTTACACACAGTGAAGAAATGGATGCACAACCACTGCACCGCATTGAGCAGTGAAAATGGCCACCTGGAAGTCGCCGAATGCCTAATTAGCTACACGGGACTCTTGAGCGGGGCCCAAGACCTAGGAGGCGAATCGTTTGTGATCGATGCAATTAGCGACGGACAGTTGGCCATAACGTTATCCAGTTTTTGCTCGAAATGGGTTTGGTTGTACGTAGTTAGACGGTGTGGCGCAGTGACATGTGGTGGCCATCTGGCAACCGTGATCAATTGGAAGTCGTTCGATGGCTCCACACCATCCGAATGATGACGTTAATGCAGTAATGGAGAAGACTGCCACCAATCTTTACTGGGCAATCGTCAAGTATTTGCACAGCCAAAAGTGTCCGGGAAGCAGCCATGCTATGATCAACGCGGCAACGTGTGGCCTCCTAGACTTAGCCGAAGTGCTTGGTTGCCCACATTTGAAGCACTGGTTTGATACTCAAACGACTATTATGTTACACACGATACAAGGGCGGGCGGTTTCCAGAGGCACTCTCATGTTCTGATGTCCGAGGCAGCGAATTACTTATTTACCGTCATGACTTGCACGGCTTACTTATTCACTCTCTGTCCTGCAATGAATTATTCATTCCCCTGTCCCCGCCCACATGAATAATTTACTTGAATAATTCAAACACAATATGCAATGCATGCATTATCGAAAGGGATTAAGGTGGAACTACCTTACTCAACGGAGCGCATCATTTCGTGAAAGTCTTCAATCGAACAAAGGTTGATATTTAGTGCATTTTCACTTTTGTGTTAGTGACTGTAAGTGCACCCCCAATGGTGCGACAGTAAACGCTATTTTACCGTGTTTGGGGTCAAATATGCAGTTTTGGCACCCCCCAACGGCGCGACGGTATCTACCGAAAACGGCATATTTTTATCACGAGACGGCAAATCGGCCATTTTTACCGTTTTGTGAATACCGAACGGTAAAATACGGGAGCCAATTATTGAATACTATTTGAAATATTTTCGCCAATCAATTGCAAGCAATGATATCTCGTTAATTTTAGTTTACAAGTGCATCAGAAGCACGGTTGGCTGAAGCAAATGCAGCGCAATTGAGATCAGAGTTGCCTCCCTTGACTACCCTACTGACTGGGTTGAGGGACACTGCTCTTGAGCATTTTTTGTGTCTTTCGAGGTCAACAAGTGGGCAAATTGACCCTCCATGCAGATGAATTCTACTAGTAGTAGTCAATATCACTATATGCGTTGGGATTGCTTGAACCAATTCGTTGTCTATGTCGTTGTCGTTGTTGTCTGATGCTTCCATCAGCCGAGTCACCATAACCAGACGAGCCTGTTATGCGGATTATTTGCCGTTTTCACCATTGGGGATGCAAAAAAGTGCTAGTACTGTACCATAATACGTATAAATACAGTGACGGCAAACGTCAAAATACAGTCTGATTATACCGTCGCACCATTGGGGATGCCCTAACCATCCATATCTACGAGTGGGTTTGAAGCCAGGTGTCGTGGTAACGACGAATTATTCCTGTCACATCAATACTAACGTATTTATTTTTTGCCACTGGAAGTTCAAATATCCTATTTCTGCATGCTCCAGAAATATTAGGTTACCGGTATTCATTTTCTCCACCATCAAAAAAGTTAATTCATTTTTATACGAAAAATGAATATATTCACGAGAAAATTATTTTACGGTCAGCACTGCACTGACTCCACGCCCGAAATGCGAAGAATCGTACAAATGCCAAGTGTCCTAAATGCAGGTCCGTGGTTTAAGGGCCTGTTCCAAGTTAATACCATGGGTCTATACTGTATCGGTAGGTAGTACCTCGTACTACCAGGACAAGCATTTGCATTCTAACGATAACCTATGGATTTCAGTTGCCTTTTGCCATCGTTTCGTATAGTACTCTTGAACATCAAAAAGGGGGTCACTGTGATAATGCATACTACTAGTACATTATTAATTGAAGGAGGTATTAGTTGCATTTGGTTTTTTCGACCATTGAAATGGCGACATCCACGGTTCGCGTACAAGTCCTTGGAGGCTACCGACGACTTCTTCGAGCGAGCCAGCAAACGTTCGGAGCTGACAAGCGCGCAGTCGTAGAGGCACGCAAGGCAGTTCGCGCCGCCTTCCTCGAGAACCGCGACGTACACGATGGCCATGCGCTGACAGGCCTGATCAAAGGCATCGAAGAAGCGGAAGCGATGTTGTTGTACAACATTGTGCAAGGCAAGGCGAATGAAAAGGGTGTATTTCAGGTCGAGCTCTCGGACCCACAGGCGAGCCGCATTCGCAAGGACGAAGAACTCTCCGAGCTCACGCCCGACTCGGGCAAGACTCCAGTCGTGACAAAGTCGTGCCCCGACGGCGGATGCCCTGCATAGACGACATAATTCAATCAAATTCTACTACGATATCTGGTACGAACTGCATTCGCGCACAATGGCTGTTTGGACAAAGGATTCAAACCATCGCTGAACGGTTCTATGGATTATTGAGAGCCAGGGGTCACTCAACACAACGACTGCTGCGTCCATGATCGAAAAGCACAACACTATGGTTCAAAAGGATGCGTACTTTACATAATTCATCAGACGCTGGTGGTATAACTTAATGATCGTGGGGACTTGGATGCTAGTCGACTTTCACAGCGGTGGGGGCGCCGTAGTACGCGTTCAATAAGTAGCGACCCGAGAGCATATCGACAAGGGTTTGGAACTTGGACTTCTTGGCCGCTTTGCTCCCGTCAGTAGTGGTGTCGTCGTCACCTGCGGACGAGCTAGCTTCGTCGGCCTCCAGCGCAGCTTGGGACAGACCGATGAAGGCCACGATCAGAGACAGCGCGAGGAGGATGTACCGAAGGGGGCACATGACTACGAAAGGACGAATGAGGTTGGTTGCGGCGACTTGATCCTCCTCTGAGGGTTCGTCGTATGAATTCCTTGGAATTTACAATTCCAATTGTGGCCAGGATATTATAATTAAAATACATACAAATCGCAAGCTAGAATTAAACGTTGGTCGTGTGTGACTGTGAGTTCATATTCTACGTGTCCAAAAATAGTGTGGTTGGACTCATCATACAAAGTCCAAGATATAACGGCCCTGACGCCATTTTGACTGGCCCTTTTTGTGTGAACATATCGTTTCGACGACTACAATTGGTCCATTTCAGCCAATGGCATTGCGAGCGCCAGGTAGGGCCATCAGCCACTGGCCAATCAGGTAACTATGGACTGGTCACATTATTGTCCAACACTCGCGACTGCCATTATTGTCCAACACACTAGACTCTGAGAGTAAGAATAATGGCAAGGTCTCTCCGTTCTTCGTACCACGGCTCCAATAATGTAATGCCGTGAAGGTTTGCGTTCTATTTCAAGCTAAAGTTGGTATTTTCGGTAGATTCGACGAACACGACGTCAAATCCACCTGAAATCGTCGAGACGTCATTTTACTTAACAGTAAACTAAATATTCCGTACTCACTGTCTGTCCGTGAACTCTTTGCGAAATGGAGAAGCTTGGCAATGCACCGAATACACCCACCTGCAATATGATTGGTCGAAAGGACTTTTTTCGAAAATTTCATTGGCTACTTTAGTCCGTCAATTACTGCGTCGATTTTGCTTCGTCGATTCGATTGGCAAGTCCAATTTTATATTTGAAATCGAATTACCAATATTGTCAAGTCGGTTCGTAATTGGAGTCGCGAGTACCTGTACCGGTAGAATCGAATAGACTTGGCAAATCGATTGGAGAATGAACTAGCCAATCAAAATCCATTCTAACCCCCCTTTCCAAGATTTCTGAATGGTTCAGCCAATCCATACATTTCTAAAAAAGAAACAGATTGAACTCACTTTACTACAGTATCTTGTATTCACTATACTACTGTATAGTGAATACAAGGTATGTTGCCAAGTTCATTCTAACTGTAAAACGGTTTCACTTTTCGACTGAACAGTGAGAAGGACAATAAAACAATCTCAAAATTACCGCACAAGTTTTGAGGGACAAACATTCCGTTTCTTAAACTTCCAGAGCGTGGGTTTTGACGAGGGTGGGATCCGTTAGGAGCAGCGCAAGCCCAGCTTGGTTGACACGACCCATGGCAAAGTCTTGTAAGGGGATAGGTAACGCCAACGAGTCGTCCAACTTGGACGCGCGGTACGATCGCTTCAACATGTCGGTTGAGGCATGCAGCCGATTGCGCAATGCTTCGTCTTGGACCTACAAGATCCATTCATCCTCAGAACATGGCATGGCCTTCGTACGTTGTCTAGAGACTCCAAGAGCGGCAACAGCCCGCCAGCAGTTTCCAACAATTCCACAGCGAGCTCCTTTGAAATGCCACCGGGAAGGCCAGGCGTTTTGCCCCACTGGTCCCCTCTCAGGGCTCGCAAGTCGGGGTGCAATCTCGGACTTGTGCCGCCAATGAGTTGCAGCACTTCGTCTTGGCCCATCAGCCACCGTGTCCGGAACTTGTACAAGGACACCGTGGGCGATGCATTGCTCTGCACCAGCTGGAAAAAGTCGCTGTCATTCGACACGACGATCACGTTGAAACCGCTCTCCAGGCTGGCCTTTGTATACGATGCGATCATATCGTCTGCTTCTACGCCTGGCACTTGAACCACGGGCACGGCTAAGCTCTTTAGCACTGATCCCTACAATAGTACTATGCCGTGACACCACTGGCATCGATGCGTCATTGGACCAAACCGTGAGTGGGAATTGCCGCCGCAATGCATCGCCCATTCGTTCGCGTTTGGCCTTGTATGTAGGATCTTCCTTCTTGCGCTGGGTTATGACAGGCGTATCAAAGAACACGCAAACTCGATGGGGTTTCATCTTGTCGACCACTTTGTGCAGCTCGTGGAGGAAGCCCAAGGTGGCACCTATGGCCACACCATTTCTACATGCCTCCTGTTGGATACGATAAGAACAAGTACGGTCACAGAGCAAAGCACGTACGACGCTAGAGTGCATGTAGGGGAGAACTTTGCGTAGAGCATGTTGTTGCCGTCGATAAACACACACGTTTTTGGCTCGACATCTTGAGGCACAGGCTCTGAGGGTTGCGTGGAAGTAAACCACGAAGCCAGACGAGACCACTCCCACCATTTGGGCGATGTAGATGTGCTGAAACATGCGACCTGCAATGGGATCGCCGCACGGAGGAGTCGACCGCGGAGCAGCATGAGATAGTTCACAAAAACATCAAATTGTTGGTTCGCACAAATCCAATGCGACTTCCGGATAACATTTGTAACGGGTTTTGTAACGGTTTCCCGTCGAAGCGGCACATTTCAACTGCGCATCCCCATGTCAGCAGCAGCAGCAACAATCTTTGAAGTGGAGCGACTGGAGGCAAAATTTGGATGTAAACATGACACCACGAGATTTCTCATTAAGCAAGGAGGCGCGCCTTGTAGTAAGCCAAAAAGTGATCTTTGAATTGCAAGCCCGGTTCCTCGCTACTGTCAACGGGTACGGAATAGATTGGGAACTATGGAGTGAACATAATGAATGGTTTAGGAAACGAGATCCTGCCAACCTTACCCCTACACAGTACGACTTACTGAGAGATATTGTATATCAGGGCAAGAATCATCATCGATATCATTGGTGTACTCTAGGCGTGTGATGGCATGTTGTGCACCCACCCACTGCAGGCCAACCGCCGACACTCGAGTCATTTATTGAGGTCTACGTGGTGAGCCCGTCCTTTGATTTCCGCGTTAAGTCTCGTTCCATCTCATGCTCAGCTATTTTTTAGTTGTTCACCCAGCCTGACAATACCCCTGAAAAACTAGCTTGTACAATCATCTAGGGCTTGGAACTGGGCTCATCGTTGTATTCGTAGTCCTGTACAAGTGGCTAGTTCAGTGCAGTCCCAGTGGCAATGTGCCAGGTAGCCACGAACTCGTTGAAAGCGATGTCAAAGCCTTGCTCCAACTCCACGAACCCAACGACGCGACGTTAGATGCAAAATTGAACGACGTGCTGGCCAACCAGGCCAAAACACTTCCTCTCGCTGCATTTCAACAGTACATGGTTACAAAACGACCCATCGACAACCTCGAGGAGAAGCTCAAGTTGCCGTCCTCGTTGTCGTAGCCGTCCTTGGCATCCTAAATGTCATAGTTTACCATAATGCTCTTATTGTGAATATAACTGCCACTTGTAACCGCTGCCACGGGGATCTTCGATAAATTCGGACACAAACATTCGATCGCCGGGTGAGCTCAAAAATGGCCTACCGCCCGCTAAGCCAACACGGCGGCAGCACGTCGCACGATTCGATTCAATACGAAAGCGTCGAATTTGTAACGTACGACGCTCGCTTCACCAAGGGCGACCTGTCCCACCTCCAAGGTGACATAGCTCCACCGACGTTCGCTCCGTGTGGATGCGGTCCAACGACGTTTTCATGGCGCAACAAGATGATTTCGCTGACCAAGTGGCTGTTGACGCTACTCATTGGCGTCGCCACCGCCCACGTCGCCGTGCTCATCAACCTCGCCACTTCTAGCCTCGTGTCGTGGAAGTTTCACACCCTCCAAGCCCTGCTAGGTAGCCAACCCTCCCAGATAATTCCATGTTCATGACATACATGCTAGTACAAGAGGCACAAGGCACGTCCATGCACGGAATGGGCGTCCTTTTTCTCGTGGCGTGCAATGCGTGGTGTGTCGGCATCGCCAGCCTGCTCACGACATTTTGGGCGCCGGCATCTGCAGGCTCGGGCATTCCAGAGATCAAGAGCACGTTGAACGGTGTGCATGTCAAAGTGTGGATGAGTATGGATACGCTGGTGTGCAAGGTAATCACTGCTGACGCTCCAACATCAATAACTGAGGGCGGCTGGGTTGGGTAGATCGTAGGGGTCATCCTCTCCGTGTCTGGGGGGTTGCCCGTTGGCAAAGAAGGGCCAATGATTCACAGCGCGTCCATCATCGGCGCATTTTTCTCGTCCAAACGGTCGTACCAGGGCTGTGGGTGGCGTCCAGTGGTGTTCCTTCAAGAAAAAGACGTGCGGGACTTGGTCACGTGCGGCGCCGCGGCAGGTTCGCCCTGTGGACACAAGAGTAGCGTCGTATATCCCCACACTCATGACGACATGGTAGGCGTGGCGGCGGCGTTTGGGGCCCCCATCGGAGGTGTGTTGTTTGCACTGGAAGAAGGCGCGTCGTTCTTGTCCCCCAAGCTCATCTGGCGAGCATTCTTTTGCGCCATGGTATTGCCCTTTTACCCAATATTTCGACTTTTGGGCTGATTATTCGCCAAATCTATCGATTTTGATTGGTCAATCGATTGTCTGCCGATTCAATCGACTTGATTTTTGTGTTTCAATCGTTCGTCTATTTTATTGCGCTTTGGTTGTTACTGGAATGCGATGTATATACATACATATATAGGTGGCGGCGTGCGTCGTGTTTGGGTCGTCGCTGGCGTCGTTTTCTGAAACGGCCAGCAAATCGTCGCTGTTTGCATTTGGTACGATGTACATACAGTACATACTATTAGTAGTATTCCTATCGATGGGAATTCTATTTTTTACAATGCATACTAGTACTAGTTGAATAACAATCGCTATAGGGAAAATGGTCGACCCGACAGTCGACCGAGCGTCGTATTTGCCGTGGGAGCTAGTCGTGTTTATGGCCATTGGGGCGGTGGTACGTACGCAATCAAAGCTTCCCTATCCTATCTACTAATTCCCCTCAAACCAAGCGATCGCATGCTCTAGGGTGGCGTCTTGGGCGCCATTTTCAATCAAATCAACAAATGTATCATGTATCGGACGCAACTGCGTCAACTACCTCTGCCCCTCAAAGTCGTATATGTGATGGGGGTGTCGGTGGGGCTCAGTGTCGTGTGGTACTTCCTCTCGGCTTTCATCGGCACGTGTCAGACCATGCCCCCCGCGATTTCCACCACAGAAAAAGCTCGTCTGGTCAACCACGTACGAGGATACCCTCAGTGATTTTGGTTCATAAATTATATGGCATAACGATAAAGTTGCTCTGTAGTTGGTCCCGTTCACATGCCCCTCGGGTCAGTACAACGACTTGGCAAGTCTCTTTCTCGCCCCGCAGGACGCTGCCCTCAAACAGGTACGTACGTACGTACGACTGCTACTACATTATGATGTGTTGACATTTTGAACGGTGGCATATGTACTGGTAGCTGCTGCACCTCCAAAGTACGCTGGCGTCCCCGCCCACGTTTACCACATCCAGCTTGGTTGCGTTTGCCTTTTGTTACTTTTTGGTACGCCTCATGTACCTACCATACATACGTTGCCATGTTGCCGTTAACTAAGTTGCCGTTAACTAAACCACATTTCAGGGCACGGCAATGGTGTTTGGGTCCAGCATTACGTCGGGTGTGTTTGTGCCTTGCATTCTTGTTGGAGCGGCCCTTGGACGGGTGGCAGGGCGATGGGTAAGTTGTCGTTTTAGCCGTTTTAAATAATAATAATAATAATATATATATATATATATATATATTAATGCGATGAAATGAATTTTCGTGTAGATGCACTCGGACGAATTGAATTTTGTCAACTTGAGCACGTATGCACTGGTGGGGGCTGCGGCGGTGATGGGGGGCGTCACGCGCATGACTATTTCGCTGGCCATTATACTTCTCGAGGCCACTGGTTTGTTCATTTTGTTCCTTTATGAATTCCATGTATATACATATAGATGGAATTCATTATATTTAAATTAATAGAATTTATATTATTTTTTGTTTAATAACTATTATTTTTGATTGTTTCTCACATGTTTGTCTTAACAGGGGATTTACAGTACGCGCTGCCGCTGATGATGGCCCTCATGCCGGCGCGATGGGTCGGCAACTTGTTCAGCGAGGTAAGTACTACGTTTGGTTCATATAACTTATCCTTTGTGGCGGTGGGTTAGGGGTTGTATGAGGTCCATATCCACTGCCGGCGCCTTCCGTTCTTGGATTGGAGTCCACCGAAAGGCGCAGAACACATGAGTGTGACTCTGGTTATGAAGCCAGAGCCAGTGAGCTGCTTTGGCAAGGTCATATCCATCGTCCTCTGCATGAACGATTGGCATGATGGTAATATGGACATGTGTAGAGAGAGCGAGTGGGGACGCTCTTGGCCGAGCTGGAGCTACACCCGCAACAAATGTGCTGGGCTGTGGTCGAACGCCGATACGACTTGCACACTGGACAGCCCGAAAAAGTGCTGGAAGGCACGATTCAACGGTATAGTATTCCTATAACTAAACACACACACGCATTTTCTAATATATATTACATTTCTCGATATTTCCAGGAATGTGCTGGTGCGGTTGCTCCACCAAAAGGCAACGTGGAACCCATTTTCGTGTGCCGACCACGAAAGTGACCGCACGAATGTGCATGTCCTGGAATCCGACCACGAAGATGCCGTTCCGCTGGACATGTCCAAGTTCTCGGTGGCGGATCGGGAGTGCTTTGTGAACCTCGAGTTCTATGTGAACCCGTCTCCAGGGCTGATCAACGGTGCCTTTCCTTTGGTTGTATAGGGTGTAGTTATGGATGTGATCGACTTTGTGCGTAGTGGAGGCATCGGCCGCCCAAGCGTACCGCCAGTTCCGCTCGCTCGGGTTGAGCTTCCTCTGTGTGGTGAGAGTGCATGATCATGAATGACTGGCATTGTGCTGAGAGAAGTAAGTGTAGGTCTCCAAGCGTGGCGAGCTCATGGGCGTGGTGACCAGAGACGAAATGCATGCGCTGGCAATGGGGACGATTCCTAAAGGGAGTCACGGCAGCAGCAGCAGCTACATGGCCAAGTGATACACAGGATAGTGGGTCATTGGGGTGACGCTCAAAAGTGAAACAGCTAGGCATTTGATTGGCTAAAATAGAGGGGTCTCGTCGCATGATTAAAATATAGGTGGTGTTGGTCGTTTGGATTATTTTTATTCGACAAACCTCGCTTCCACGGCAACGGGCCTGTAATAAAATACTTGGAGGGAACCGACCAACATTCCGCAATTTATTATTATCCAATGGTTTTCGACCTCGACGTCGCCATTCATCAACTTTTGACATGGCGAGGAAACGCAACAACCGCCGTGGTGACGACTCGGACGACGAGCCTGCTCCGGCCGCCGCCGCTGCTCCCCCCGCCGAGGAGAATGCGAAGGGAAGCAAGAAGGACAAGAGCAAAGGAGGGAAGAAGCAACAAGCGGCTGCAGTCGTAGTCGACGAGAACGACGACGAAGACGAGGAGGATCCATATGTCCAAGCCGCCGCTGCCGCTGCGTCCAAGAAAAAGGATAAGAAGAAAGACAAGAAGAACAAGCAAGCCTATGCGGACGAAGACGACGAAGTGGACAACGTTCCTGCTGAGGATGATGAGGAAGACGATCCGTATGTCCAAGCCGCTGCTGCCGCCGCCGCTAAAAAGAAGGACAAGAAGAAGGATAAGAAGAAGCAGGCCGTTGTCGTTGTAGAGGACGTAGACGAGGCAAGCGACGAAGAGGAGGATCCGTACGTCCTAGCGGCTGCTGCGGCGGCCGCCAAGAAAAAGGACAAGAAGAAGGACAAGAAGAAGCAAGCGTTTGTTGCCGAACACGTCGAGGCCGCCGACGACGACAACGACGACGATGACGCTGACGATCCATACGTTCAAGCGGCTGCTGCGGCGGCCGCCAAGAAAAAGGACAAAAAGAAGGACAAGAAGAAGCAAGCTGTTGTCATTGAAGAAGTCGAGAGCGAAGTCGACGACACGGACATCGTCGTGGAAGGCATCGAACAAGCCGCCGCGGCCGACGAGGAAGAAGAAGAAGAGGTGGTTGAAACCAAGGTAGTACCCGCATCCGACGCCGACAAGAAGAAGGACAAGAAGAAGGCCAAGAAGAAGGCGGCGTTTGCAGCGGCGCTTCTGGAGACGATTGAAAAGCTTGACGATGCAGCGAATGACCCCACCACCACGTCGTCTGAGGCGGCGGCCAAGAAGAAGAAGGACCGAAGCGCGAAAGACGGCAAGAAGCTCAGCAACAAGGAGCGGCGCAAGCTCAAGGAAGACGCCGACGCCACCGAGCGCGACGCCGAGTACCATCGCGCCGCCAACCCCATGGACGGCAAGCAGTTTTCCGTGTCCCAGCAAGCGTTCACGGAGGACGCCAACTGGGAAAACGCGACGGACATCCACATCGACAACTTTACCATCAACGCGCACAACAAGCTCTTGTACGACAACGCTTCGCTGCACATCAACCACGGCGGCAAGTACGGGTTGGTTGGGCCGAACGGCCAAGGCAAGACGACGATCCTCAAGATGATTGCGCTGGGCGAACTGCGCATCCCCCCCAAGATCGACTGCTTGTACGTGGAGCAAGAGGTCGTGGCCGACGACACGCGGGCGGTGGACGCGGTGCTCAAGGCAGACGCGGAACGGTGGGCGTTGCTCGAAGAGGAGACGGCGCTGCTGGCGCAACTGGACGAGGCCCCCAGCGACCAACTGGACGAACGCCTGAACGAAGTGTACGAGCAGCTGGCCGGCATGAACGCGTCGGCAGCCGAGGCTCGCGCGCGGCGCATCTTGTTTGGGCTCGGCTTCGACTCGGACATGCAGGAGAAGGTGACCAAAGACTTTTCCGGCGGATGGCGGATGCGGATCTCGTTGGCCAAGGCGCTGTATGTGGAGCCGACGCTGCTCATGTTGGACGAACCGACCAACCATTTGGACCTGAACGCAGTCATTTGGCTGGACGACTACCTTCAAAAGTGGAAGAAGACACTGCTTATCGTGTCGCACGACGCCGACTTTTTGAATTCCGTGTGCGGCGAGATCTTGCACTTGGAAAGCAAAAAAATCGTGTCGTACAAGGGCAACTACGACATGTTCAAGGAAATGGAAGTGCAAAAGCGAAAGCAGGCGGAAAAAGCGTGGGAAAAGCAGCAAAAACAGCTCCGTGCGCTCAAGGCCAAGGGCGCGTCGTCCTCGAAGGCGTCTGATATTGTCAAGAAGCAGCGCGAACCGGGCGCCCGCGCCGACAAGAAGAAGGCCAAGTCGTCGGTCGAGTCGGCGCAAGATTCAGGAAAGACCCTCGAGCTCCTAGAGCGACCCCGCGAGTACACGGTCAAGTTTAGCTTCAAGGAGATCACGCAGCTGTCGCCGCCAATCCTCGAAGTTCGAGAAGTGAGCTTTAAGTATGGCAACGGGCCGTACTTGTTTAAGGACGTCGACTTTGGGCTCGATACGGGCTCCCGCGTGTGTATTGTCGGGCCCAACGGCGTCGGCAAGAGTACGCTGCTCAAGGTGATCACGGGTGACTTGACGATCGAGGAGGGCGAAGTCCGACGCAACGGCCGCCTCCGCATGGGTGTGTACAACCAGCACTTTGTGGACAAGCTGCCGATGGGCGAGACCCCCGTGGAGTACCTCCGTCGGCTATTTCAGGATATTACGTACCAAGATGCTCGCAACTTGCTCGGCAAGGTGGGGCTGGAAGGCCACGCGCACGAGATCAAGAACCGACTGCTTTCGGGTGGCCAAAAGGCCCGTGTGGTCCTCGCCGAGCTCATCCTGATGAACCCGCACATGCTGGTACTGGATGAACCGACCAACAACTTGGATATTGAAAGTATCGACGCGCTATGCGATGCTCTGAACGCGTTCGACGGGGGCGTCGTGGTTGTCACGCACGACGCGCGGTTGATTGCCGCCATCAACTGCGTGCTGTGGGTGGTCGGTGACCAAGACTGCATTGCGTACAATGGCACGTTTGAAGAGTACAAGAGTGCAATTTTGGATGACATTATGAAGAAGGCCGAGCACGAAGCGTCGCGGATCCAAGACAACGCGGCCAAGAAGGCCGAAAAGCGAGCGGAAAAGTACAAAAAGTAGCATCGATCGTCACAAAAAATTAGTACTATGGAGAATGCAATTCCGCGTTTCGTACTCGTTGTGGATCATCCATCCTTTTATAGCAAAAATGTAACGTTATTGTACTTATTGTACATACAAATCGCGGTCCACGTCAGTGTTACTGTACGTACAAATCAACTGGGCACTTGGACTCACTCTATTACGTCGGCAAACATTGTTTGGGCTAGCTAGCTAGATACGATTGGTGGGAAAATTTCAAAATGCCATTGCGCTGGGTCCTTGGCGCTACTCTTCGTCGTCTAAGTTGTCGTCTCTGACAAGCTGTTCGATGCATGGTCTCGATCGTGCAGCCTTCGGTTCTGTGGGTGTGAAGAAATGCCACCATCATCATCAGGTGGCCCTTTGCAGCAGTACTGTACTATCTATAGCGTCGGTTGGACAACCTTCCGTTCAGTGCCAATGTAGCCACTGCACAACGCTGAAATGTCCTTCTTCAGCCGCACGATCCATGGCCGTGGCGGTGCAGCCCTCGCATCGATGTTTGTGAAGCCATTGGACAACTCCAAGATGGCTGTTCGAGGAGGGTTCGTCCATAGCCGCCTTCGACACATCAAACGACTTGCAACTCGAGCACGTGCAATGACCGCATGATGCAGCCACATCCATCGCTCTGGGGTGTGTGATGCCATGGCCATCAAGCTATTGGGCCAGCTCCAAATGGCCACTTCTCACAGCGTATAAAAGAGACGTTGGAGTGAAGTCCTCTGGTCGGTGCTCATGCAAGAACTTCACTACGTCGAGGTGGCCACCCCTGCAGACTTTGTTGACGCAAAGTTCGGACACAGTTTGACCTTGACTTAGCAGCCATCCAATAACTTTTCCCGATGCAGCCAGCATTGCTTCGTCAAAGCAGTTATCGTCGGGGCGATGAGTCACCAACCATTGCATCCCATCCAGACACCTCGCAGCTGCAGCACCCGAAAACTCACAAGGACTTCCACCTTCACTTCGATTCGCGTGGAGCCGCTCCATAACATCCAGATGGCCCTTGGTCGCCGCCATGCCCAGAGCTCGTTCAGAGCAGCCTTGAGACGACTTCCAAATGGCCCTGCTCACACGCCAAATCCATTGCCAGCTCCGTGCATCCTTCCCTTCGATTCGCATGCAGAAAACACAGCACGTCCAAATGGCCATTTCTGGCCGCGCCGTTCATAGCTCATGTCGAACGGCCTTCGGATCAGTGGACATGTAGAAATTCCACCATGTTGAAATGTCCTCCTTCTACAGCCATGTCCATGGCGTCTTCGGTCGATGGCACCGATGGAAACTGGCCGTGGAGGAATTGCATAATAATGTCTGTATGGCCATTTCGGGCTGCCGCGACCAATGCAAACGACGAGCATGTCCAGCCGATGGCATGCGGATGCTGCTGGAAGAAGTCAAGGACCAGGCGTTGGTTGTTCCACGCAGCCAAGTCGATCATCAACATCGTCATGGCAGTAGACACTCCACGGACACGAATCTCAACTTCTACGACGTCCACGCGACCTGAGTACGCAGCATGATGGAGCATGATGGCATGCATGTCCTCAAGGCAATCGAACAACCGTGACAGCCGCGTCACGCCGTATTCCATCAACCACGGATCCAGCGTTGTAGCCAAACTAGCGTAGACTTCGTTTGAGTACACATCCCGCGCGAGATGTGGTGGGATCTGCAAACGTCGCAGCAGAAGCATGTCCCGGTAGCCTCCACGTCACAAAACTCAACTGTCGCCTTCGAAGCCTCAAGACAAAAGTCAACTTCAAAATGACCATTATTGGAAAATGACCATTATTGGGCGAGGAGTTTGGAAATCTCTAAAAATAATTGGGTGATTTGGCAAAACAATTGCTTGCCCCACCATTTCGTAATATTTTATTAAAATATCTATCCAAATACATATTCCTGCCTCATAAATACATGAAGTATTAAAATACGAAATCCGTCGCACGCTTTTTCCCTGGACACTTGACACATTATTCAGATTTGACCATGGCGAGCGCCGACAAGCAAGTGATCTCGGGTTGGCTCCTGCGCCGCACGACCATGGGCTTCTTCCAGGTCAAGGGCACGGGGGACTGGAGTCGCGTGTGGTGCGAGTTCGACGTCCTCGCCGGTCTCTTTGCCGTGTACCTCGACGGTGAGAAGCACCGGAGGCTGCTAAACTGGAAAATCCAAGTGTGCACGATCAACCACGTGCGGAACGACGGGCGATTCTGCATCGAGCTCGAGTACGGCCAGCAGCGGAAGAAGGAGACATTTGCTTCCACGTCCAAGAGTTACGACATCGAGTGGTGGTTTGACGTGTTGGCGTCGTCCAAGCTCGCGCTCGCCGAAGGCCGCGTGCCGAACCCGCCGTTGCTGGTGCGAACCCCCGGCGTGGTGACTCATGTTCCCGTGGGGAAGAAGGACAAGGTCAAGGCGACGCCCAAGCCCCTCCGTCGGCGCCAACCCAAGCTCAGCGCGAGCATCCAGCGCTTCGAGCGGTTCACGGTCTACGAGACCCGCACGCACTTTTACCTCGTCGGGTCGGACCGATTGTACTCTCAGTTTCGCATGTTTACACTAGATCGCACCGTCAAGGACCCTGCCAACTTGGCGGCCATCTTCACGGACGAGCCGGCGGTGCTCGGGTGGGATGCCATGGAGGCGACGTTGCAGGAGCTCGACTTTGACGCCCGCAAAAGCAGCGCGTCCGCCCCATCCACCCCTGTGGGCCTCGTGCGCGCATTTTCGGCCGTGGCGATCGTCGGCTTTGTCAAGTTTCTTCAAGGGTACTACCTTGTCCTCGCCACCCAGCGCCGGAAAATCGGGTGCATCGGCGGCCACTACATTTATGCGATCCAGTCGGTCCAGTACTTGGCCATCCGGCAACCGGCCGCAACCGACGGCACTCCGTGGACGTGGGTCAATCGCTGGTTCAACCCCGATGCCGTCGAAGACGCCGAAGACCGCTACTCGGTGCTATTCAAACTCGTGGATCTGACCAAGGACTTTTACTACAGCCCTACGTACGACCTCACGCATACCCTGCAGCACAACATGACCACCAACCAGACCAAACCATTCAACATGTACGAAGTCGTGGTTCCTATAGAGTTATTGTCGATTTGATACAAATTTGGGTGGTTTCTATATATGCATTTTGCCAATTTTGTTTCGATGGCCATACAAATGGCTCCATTTTGCGGTTCAATTTGCCGTATTGTTAATTAGGTTTTATATCGTGAAGGCGTGTGTGTGTGACCTATTGCTTCCATGTACAGTGCTTTGTTGGCTTGATTATTTATCGTATACTAGTAGGTTGTTCTATTAATATGCACAGAATCCGACTGGAAAATAATGATATTATTACTAGTATATATTCGCATGAATGGAAAGAAGACTTGTGGCATTCATTCCATGTACGTAGTGTGAATACTTACAACTAATTGAATCCACTGGGGCAAACTTGGTTGATAGTGAAGTTACACTGGGACATTTGGATGTACTTGATAATATCAAGGATAATAATTCTTCTAATATAGGTTTGAATGGAATCACTTTTTGACGGACGAGTTCCATGCGTGTCTGAGCTCGCCGACCGCCCGGGACGACTGGGTGCAGCCCCTCGTCATGGGCTTTTACGAGCAGCGCAAGTGCAGCTTGTTTGGCCGGTTGATCAGCATCATCGTGTTGGCGCGGCGGTCGCGACATTTCGCCGGCACGCGTTTCTTGAAGCGAGGGGTGTGTGCATCCAACGTGCATATGGATGATATGCATATATCATTTTGTGAATGATATATATATATCACCTTGTGAATGATATATATCATCATGTTGCAGGTCTCTGACACGGGCAAAGTCGCCAATGACGTGGAAACCGAGCAAATTATCGAAGACGAAAGCACCCAGGGCAAACTGAGCTCGTTTGTGCAATACCGCGGGTCGATTCCGATCTTTTGGACCCAGGAAAGCAGCGTCACAGTTCCGAAACCCCCGATTAAATGTATGTACCGATGCCAAATGGCCACGAATCATGTCGACATATGGTCCTTTTACCCAACATTATTTGGACTACTTTTGTGCTGCATCGCCAAATCCATCGATCGTTTGTATGTATAAACGTGTCGTGTGGTGATTCGTAATCACACTAATTGAAGTTACACACTAATTTGATGTTGGTGATGGTTGTTTCCTGCAATCTGATTGGCCTGAATCCTTCTGTCCATTTGGTTGTGTCGATTCATTCTCGATGCGTCTCTCCAGTTTAGAATATAAACACAGTACAATATGATGTTCACTATGTCTGCCCAATGGCCACGACGAAATAAACTATTTGTGTTTGTTTCTGCACCGATGCCAAATGGCCACGAAAGGATGGGTGTCCAATGGCCACGATTGCGAACTGATACATATATTTGTGTAGTGAACCGCATCGATCCGTCGTACACGGCGACGCAAATGCACTTTGCCGACTTGTTCGAACGCTATGGGTCGCCCGTTTTGGTGCTTAACTTGGTCAAACAGCAGGAAAAGACTGCTCGGGAAAAACTACTCGGCCAAGAGTTCAAGGACGCTATCGAGTACCTCAACACTTTCCTCCCCCCCGAGCACCGCATCCGCTACGTCGCCCTCGACTACTCGCGGCTGTCCAAGTTCAAAGTCGACCACTCCAAAGTCGAAGCTGTGCGCCAGGGGCTCGAAAAGGTCGGCGCGTGGGCGCTGGACCAAACCGGCTTCTTTTGCTCGGCCCCGAAGCGGCAGATTGGCACGGGCACGAACAAGCGAACCGCGCGCCGGACGACGATCCCTACAATGTCCCCCATGCCCAAGGCTCTGGGGGGAGGGGGCCCGACGCCTCCTCGGCCCACGACACCCCCCCTGCAGGTAGAGGCTCTCCGTTTCTAAGCATCGATTGGAGTATGATTTGTATACCTTATTCAATGTTTAAAGTATACAAAGTTGAAGATGATTATAGAATTGACTGGGTCAAACTACACTCTAAACAATGATTGGTTGAAATCAATTTCTCGTTATTGCACTTTGATTGGCTAGGACATTCTCCAATATATCCAATATATTTGTCACATTCAGTCGATTGTTTGGCACGATTGTACTAACAGTAAATAGAGGTTCATATTGAATTAATCGATTTGCATTCCCTTGATTCCTAAAGGCAAAAAAGTATATATAGTATGAATGAAGTTGTACAAATTTCCCAATTCTGCGCGATTGTTGCATATTAGTAATATATATATATATGCTTCTTGAACTGATATTTCGTTGTTTATTGACGAACTATGCACTTATGCACTTGATGTGTAGGGCCACCCAGCACCGCCAGACGCCCTTGTACGTGTTGTTGAAAAATAGTGTTATGGAGAATATACTAGTACTTGGTGATTTCAATGTACGTACTTATATGTAGGCACTGAAACCGTTGAGTCCGACGATTCCGCGGGATTCAGGCGATTGGTTGGAACAGCACGGCGTACTCCGCACGAATTGCATCGATTGCCTCGATCGAACCAACGTAGCTCAGTTCAGTGTGGCCATGCTGGTATCTATTGTGAATACGTGTATATATATATATATATCCAAGTCTTTCGTGGCCATTTAGAACAGGCTGTCTTGTGCTTCATATTGATGTGTTTGATTGTTGTGATTTCGTAGGCACTGGGGCAGCAACTGTATGCGATGGGTATCCGCAACACGCCCGTGTTGGAAAGTTCATCGCAGATTTTGCAAGAGCTGACGACTATGTTTGGGCACATGGGCGACGTCATTTCAATGCAATATGGGGGCAGCGAAGCCCACAAGAACGTGACCAAATCCAAGGAAAACATCAAAGCGTGGGAGCTCTTGACGTCCATTCGGCGGTACTACAGCAACGCATTCACGGACAACCTCAAGCAAGACGCGATCAATCTGTTCCTCGGCATTTACGTGCCGTCGCCGTCGACGTCGCCGCTGTGGCTACTCGAGAGCGACTATTACCTGCACAACGTTAAGATCCAGCGCGGGTTGGCGCTGTCCGAGATGGGACCGTTCCACCGCCGGACCAACCTCAAACAGCAGCGATCGGCTGACGACAAGCGCCTGGCTTTGTATCACCGCGACGCGCTGCAGCCCCAGTGGTGGAAGCCCAGCATCGAAGCATTCGACGCGCCCAAATTTATCGACCGGCAGGGAGGAGGGGGGGGAGCAGTCAAGCCCACCCCCCGGACCTCTAGTAGTTCTAGCAGCGTGGACCACCACCGCAAGGCCAGCACGGCCTCGATAGGGTCCATGGACGATTCCATCTTGCAGGTACTTGACTCGTTCGATGTGGATTCGAACGATGTGTGCTAGTACTAGTACTAGTACTAGTAGTAGTATGCATAGTAGTACTAGTAGTAGTAGTAATTGATTGCTCTTGGTGTGAATGGGTGTCTAGTTTTGTACTGTTTGGGGTTGAGCATACTTGTAGTTTGTTATTGAAGCTTGATTGGGGGGTTGAAATGATGTTGGTGTAGGCGACGGACAAGGACGAATTGTTCTTTTTCGACAAAGCGCTCGGCCATACGTTTATGATTCCCGTGTACATTGTGGCCAAGGACGCGTCGAGCGATGGCGGCCACGTCCAGCACCTGCACCACCACGCGATGGCCCCGCCGGCGGCGGCGTCGCTCGTCCGATCGCAGTCGTCGTTGATGGCTCAAAAGGTGCGGGCAATGAGTGCGCCGGACGAAGGTGGCGGTGGCGGCGCCGCGTCGTCGACGGACGTGACGATGAAGCGGAGCTTGAGCAACGTCGGGCTCAAAGATCTGGACGTTGGCAAAGTGGAAGGCTCCACCCACAACAACACCAACAGCAGCCACACTGGTGAACAACCATCGTTGAACATTGAAGAGTATGCGGCCGCGCGGGGCATCCGCAAGGAGTACATTGGCACGTGCACCCACACCACGACCCCCGACGCCGCCTACGTGGGGTACGTCGAGTCCAAGGGCAATCTGGCATTTTGGGAAAAGGACAACAAGAGTGTGCGCAGCGACTTTGTCGTGTACCTTCGCGAGTTTTCCATCGACGCGGACGATGTGGACGGCATCCACGACGCGGCGGTGCGCGGCGGCTGCACGTACAAGATCCAGACGGGGGTGTACGCTGGCTTGGACCAGCACACCAAGGCCCGCGCGCTGCTGCCGACCAAGAAGTTCGTCCTCAAGACATCCGACATGCTCCTCGCGGACGACCGGAAGGATGACGAGAGCATGTGGAACCGACCCGTGGACCCCGCGACCGCCGACTTGTACGCGTCTTACTTTGACCAGACCGTCAACATGTCGTGGCATCCGGCCGAGCACGGCGTCGTGGGCGACGAATCCATCACGACCGATACGATGCAGTCGTCACAGCTGGACCAAACCACCACCGCCACAGGCCAATACGACGACTACATTTTGTTTAACGCGAGTGCCGCGGATCACCAGTTTGGAGACGTCATGAAGACAGTTAACGAGCTGTCGTTTGTCAAGAAAAACTAGCTTTAGTGTAGCTAGCTAGATTTAAAGCTGAAAAATAAATAGCAGCTATATATATATATATACATGGATTCGAGCCCAAGCAAACGTGAGGTTCATCATAGAACCACTAGAGTTGATGTCTAACGATAGAACGATTATGGTGTTCTGACTATATCATCCGTCCATATGGGGAGACCTGCCTGCTTCGTTGGGCTAATTGCGTGTGTAGTTAGATACTGTAGTCTTACTAGAACTAGAACATGATGGATTCATTACTCGTTTGTTAAAGACACTAAAAATCTCGGTCCGATTCCGACTCCGACTCGGACCCCCCCGACGCCGACTTGCCGGTCGACTCGCCGTCGCTTCCGGTCGCCGAGTCGTCGTCGTTGTCAATGAGCTCCCCCGAGTCGGCCACCGACACTTCGTCGCTGTCGTTGTCCGAGTCATTTGCTGCTTCCTTACTCGGTTGAGGTGTTGGTTGTTTCTTGCCCGCTTTGGTTGGGGCGGAGGCAGTCGCCGCGCCTCCCCGTCCAGACCCTCCCCCTTGGGTATCCTCATCGTCCTCTTCTTCGTCGTCTTCGCTTTCGCTGTCCGACGACGTGGCCGCCGCCTTGCTCTTTCGCGGCTGATCTTTCTTGGACTGGGGGGGGGCACTGCTTTTCTTTGGGTCTTTGTCGTCAGGCACTGGGATATCAATCTCTTCCTGCTCGCCACGCAAAATCGCGAGCTCGTCGTCGCGGAACTTTTTCTGCATCTTCTTGAGCGTGCGGTCATTTTCTTGAAGTTTTTTCATCTCGCGGTCGTTGTGCAGGTCGAGTTCGTGCTGGAGGTAGTCCAAGTTGCGATAGCGTTCGCAGTAGATGATGTACTGCCGCTCGAGCTCCTTCTCCAGCTTCTCGTACTCGTCCATGAACGCCGGGCGGACGTTCTGCAAACTCTTGAGCCGCTTCTCGCTGCGTTCGAGGTCACCCTGGGCTTTTTTGATCTTGGCCCCCAGTGCTTTCTCCTCAGCGTCGAGCTCCGAGCACTGCCGCTCCATACTCTCGACGTTCTCTTGCACCGATACAATGATGCTTTTGATGGACTTTTCCAAGTACTTGTGCTCGTTCGTCGACTCCAAGTTGGAGCTCACAGTGTCCAGGAATCGAATCGCCTGGACCCGCGCCTCGCGCACTTCGAGTTCGTTGTCCAACAAGTCGTACAATTTGGCACCGCACTCTGTGATTTCCGCCGACAAGGCCCGCGTGGCCTACAATGACGCCCGCTTACGTGTAATACAAAGCATCGGGTATCCTCTTGTCGTACCTTGGCATCTTTGAGCTTGGAGCCAAGCAAACTCTTTGTCGAGAGCTCGTCGTCGTCTTCAACGGTCGACGGATCGATCCGAGACGCTTCGTACAGCACCCTCGCAACTTTGATCAGCTCCTTCACGGCGAACCCGTCCGCGGCGTACAGCTTCTTGGCGTTCAGCTTGATGCGCGCCTTGGAATGGAACTCGGACGTGACCGACGTGAGGAACACAATCCGGTCTTCCTCGGTGTCGATCTCTTCTGTCACGCTTGAACTCGGGTCGTACTTTTTGGCCATCCAATACAGCAAGTCCGACACAAGCTCAAAGTTGGGCTTGCGGAAGTTCTCCACGGACACTGGGCGGGGATACCCCAAGGCCCGCATCATCTCGGTAAAGTTGCGTAGCTCGCGGAACGACATGGTGCGGCAACTGGTGAACGACTCTTCAAGATATACGCCGGTTGACAACGATGAATTATCCGGATACATATACCAGTAATATGTAAAACCAAAAACATGTTTGCGTTTTACTATTAATAGTATAGTTAACCCGCTCGGATGGGAGTTTGGAATACTTGGCCATTAGAAAAGAATGTATTACCGGTAGGAATTAACTGTAAGAGTACGACACTACTACTGTACGTACTACTAGTGCGGAGTAGTAATAATTACTAGTACTTGTCAATATCAATGCTAACCTAAACTCAAATTGCATTCCCTAGACAAGTAGATATGGTGGGGTCGAGACTGATAGTGCCAAAAATCCTGTAATCCAGAATCGTCTGTCAAACGCGATTATAAGCTTCAGAAGTGGTAGGGTTAAAGAGAAAAGACGTAGCGCTATGTAACGTTAATACAAGGCGTACGTAATTACAGGATACAGCTCGTCGGGGAAATCAGACTGCTCGGTTTCCGCCAAGAGCGTCAGTCCCGCTTGGCGAAAGATGCTCTTGTAGTATACCGACGACCTACCAGATCCATCATCAGTCTTTGCTACAGTACGACGCTATAAGTCTATAAGTACAAACCTGCCCAAACTGCTATCGTCTTTGTCTACGTAGTACGGCACCCCTTCGTTGATTGCGTTCTCCTTGATGCAAATCACTCCATCGGGGGCAAGCGCCTTTTGGCAGCGCTTTAGAAATGCCACAAAGTCGCTATCGGTCAAGTGACCCAGCACCCACTGGCACCAAATGAGGTCGTACGCGTGCGGTTCGGGCTGAAAGTCCTGCATGCCCATGCAGTACAAATTGCGGATGCGCGACGTGTCACTGGAACGTCCAATGTAGCTGGGCACAGTGTTTAGGAGACGCTGGCTTTGTTCCAAACAATCCACCGAGTCATAACGCGGCAGCAGCAAGTGCTTCACCACACGCCCGACGCCGCAACCACAGTCTAACCATTGTCCATCTAGTATCTACTAGGGAGAGTACTAGTACGTACCGATGGCCAAATTGCGCTTCATGGTAGGTCGAAGGGTTTGAATCCGATCCAAAAACGAAGCCGAGCCTTCCACGTCGGCAGGTGAAATGCGTCCATAACCTCCCAACACACCATCGTCGGTGGGTGGGCAATTGCTTTCGTCCTGCCACGGACAAAGTTGTGTCAGTCGTACTTAACCACTAGGCGCAGAAAAGGGTACGGACCTCCCAGTACTTGGCACCGCTGGTATACCATCCGGCCGGAGCAGCAGTTGTGTCGGACCCCTTCGCGTCGGCCAACTCGGCTTCCCACATGGCCAAGACGCTCCTACGTCCACGTGTGAGCTCAAGAAGGATGCTGTCGTCTTCATGTACTCGTAGTCCTCATGTTCGTCTAGCCCATTTGCATCCAAGTCCCGTTGCACAACGACGGAGATGCGGCGGAGCTCGGCCCAATTGATTGGCATTGCAATCGATCAATCCAATCCCGAGTTGGTCCAGCAAATTGCGACGGGCCAATCAAAGCATTTCAATCCGAGTCCAATACCATTGTAGTAGTATACTAGTAGTAAGTAGTAGTACTACTTAGGGTAATGTGCTACTATTAATATTACTACGTAGTAATAGCTTTTGTAGTAACATTATTGTGCACTTCACGTAATTTGCCCGTTGTTTAACTGCGTTAACTGTAAACAAAACGGTATTGGGGGGACTCGGCTTGAAGCTTAATAGTAACGCTAGAGAACTGAATGCCGCCCGCACGTGATACCTTTCAAATTGCCCATTTTTGAGATCGCATGACAACCATATCGTCAACCACTACCAGCCAAGCTTGCTTCACGATGGCATGGGATGGCTACAATCGCGTGTACTTCACGACGTCCATGGCTGTCCTTGTGGCGTCGTTTCAATATCGACACTACCGTGACATGTTTCTGCTGTGACGTCTGCAGATCCCACCTCATCTCACTCGGGATGTGTATCCCAGAGAAGGCTACGCTGGCTTGGCTACAGCGCTGAATCCGTGCTTGATTGAGCACGGATTGACGCGGCTGCCACGGTTGTTCGACTGCCTGGAGGACTTGCACGCCATCATGCTCCTTCATGGTGCGTACTCAGGTCGCGTGGACGTCGTAGAAGTTGCGATTCGTGTCCGCGGAGTGTCTACTGCCATGACGATGTTGATGATCGACTTGGCTGCGTGGAACAACCAACGCCTGGTCCTTTCCAGCAGCATCCGCATACCACTGGGTCGCGGCTGACCGAAGTGGTCCTGCGGGCATTGTGCAATTCCTCCACGACCAGTTCCATCGGTGCCATCGATAGAAGACGCCGTGGACATGGCTGCAGAAGGAGGACATTTCAACATGGTGGAGTTTCTACATGTCCACTGGTCGGAAGGTGTTCGACACGAGCTATGAATGGCGCGGCCAGAAATGGCGATTTGGACGTTCTGCAGTTTCTGCATGCGAATCGAAGCGAAGGATGCACGGAGCTGGCAATAGATTTGGCGTGTGAGCATGGTCATTTGGAAGTAGCCCGTTGGTTGAACGAGCATCGGAGTTGGGAAGGGTTTACTGAGTGTGCGTTCGACAAGGCTGCGGGAAACAACCATATGGCCGTTGTGGAGTTTCTGCACTTTGAACTCGACGCGCCAAGCACCGAGAAGGCCATGGACTTGGCTGCCGAGAATGGGCACTTGGGGATGGTCCTATGGCTCCATGAGCACCGGTCGTTCCAAGGCTGCTCCGAACGAGCTCTGGGTATGGCGGCGGCCAAGGGCCATCTAGACGTGGTGAAGTGGCTCCACGCGAATCGAAGTGAAAGTGGTAGTCCTAGTGGGTTTGCTGGTGGTGCAGCCGCAGGAGGTTTGGAGATGATGCAATGGTTGGTGACTCATCGCCCCGACGATAACTGCTGTGACGAAGCAATGCTGGCTGCATCGGGAAAAGTTATTGGATGGCTGCTAAGTCGTCCGAACTTTGCGTCGACGACGCGTGTAGGGGTGGCCACGTCGACAAGGTGAAGATTTTGCATGTGACCAGACGGCGTCACTATTCGGATCGGTGGCTGGCTAAACTATGGCACCATGACACCGCCAGGGCCAACTACTGGAAAGTGGCTTCCTACGGCGACCACAATGAGTCCAATAACTCGAGCAACGCCTGCGAGCCTCCCGAGCGAATACACGACGCTTGCTGACTTCGGTAAGTCTAAACGTGAAAGTCCAATTTAAGGTTGCTCGATCCAACTTAAGGTGAACGCGAAATAGCCAATCAATTCCTAGAAAGGCAGTTTTTAACCTAACTACCAAAAAAATATGCAAATGAGTATACAAAGACTAAGCTTAAAATGGTGCACCTTAAATTGGATCGCTTGTTTTAAGCTGGAGGACAAAGTGGAGTGAATGATAATGAATTATAACAGGAATCATATCGCATTCATAACTCCCAAATAGGCCTGGATTTTGGCTTCATGTAACATACTGTAGAATTATAATCCGATACCTTCGAGTCGAGTTACAGTACATGCCTGTCCATGGCAGCGTTCTCGGAAAAAGTGTTCTTAACGTAAATTGGACTTTTACGTTACAGTACAGGTGCCTTTGGATCGCTTGAGAAAGGTCGTCATGGAGCCGGGCGATACTGAAAGTGTCCGTAGTAGGTAATGACCACCGACTGTGTAGCTCTCAGATTTCCAAGACGTGCAAAAACCGATCCAATGGGTTTACAGTTAGCTAGAAGTACCGCTAACTGCCCGTGTAACGTTTGTTGTCTGTGAAGCCATGGACAACTTCTAGATGACGGTTCAAGGACGCACCGTCCACAGCTGTTTCGACACATCAAACGATAGTTCGCAAGCATGCAACCAGTCAAGCACGTGCATGTGGCCATGCCTTGCACCCTCATCCATCCCTTCAGTTGGTCCAATGGCTACTTGAGATGACATCACGCACCCTACTTCGACCCTGTGGCCTTGCAATACTACGTAGTATTGATTTGGCAAAACCATACCGGTATTTATTCTAAGCATCCAAGTTACTGGCAAATATATCATTTTCTATCCAATCCAAATACGGTTTTTCATAAATATCAACCAATCATATCAGATTAGAGGATTGTACTAGATACGGGAATCCGATTTGAACCTGTCTAAAAATAGCGGTGAAAACGACGCCATCAGTATTCACAACTATTGTGTGTCGTAACTCGGTGGCGGCGTGATGTACACGTTGCGGCATCTCCTCAGCGACTGCAGCGGCAAGATGACTCGGACATCATGCGCTGCAGAGAAGAAGAAGGAGACCCTCGAGGAAGTGTGGGCTGCGTTGAACGCCTGGATCGAGGCCCGGTATAACGAAGGCAAGGTGCGTTCTCTCCACCCAACCAGAACACAACGCGCCACATACACGACAGCTCGTCACAGAATGCGAGTTTTAGGGTGTGAATGTGGCGCCGTTTTGCAAAATCTCTTGGGAAACAGTCACGATCAGCCGCAACACGCGCAAGTTGCGGCCAATCTTCATCTTGCACGAGACCTATGCCAAGACGTACGGGTTGCACTACAAGAAGCGCATCACCGCTCCAGACATTGCCGCGCTGGAAGACATCAATTTTACCAAAATCGCCATCAAGTTTTCCAAAAATCTGAACAAGGACACAGTGTTTTGCGGGGTGCGCGACTTGCTGCACAAAATCGGCGAGATCGCATCCACAGGCGCACAAATGTCGATCGATATGGCATTGGGCAAGATCGTGGCCAAGAACCGCACAGTGCACATGCTGTTTGACCCGAAATTATTTCCGAAACACCTCGAGACGGCATCTACAACCAGCGCGCCGCCGTCAATCCTAGGGGACTTAGCCGACTTTGACTTGCTTCTCGACGAGTCCACCAACCCGTTTGGGGACGGCGAAGAGGGTCATCTCCAGGACGAACCGTTGGCCATCACCCCTGGCCGGCATCCATCGACCCCTCGCCCGGTGAAACTGCAGCCCCACCGCCTGGACACGGCGGCATCCCCCCACAAGACGGCGCTAGTGTTGCCGTCCGTGGAGAAGCCGCCACCGATCCTCGCGACGCCCCCGACGCTGTCGCAGCTCCGATCCCCCCGGCCGGCCTCGCGGAACGGCCAAGGGTACCAGAGCGTGGACGTGCCCAGTCGGGACTTTACAACCATGGCACTGTCACCCCCCCAGCTCCGACAACATCCGGCGTTCAACGAACCGAGTTTTGACTTTAGCTTCAAGGAAATCCTGAAGCACGAGTTGGAGCGGAGCGGGAGCAGCGCCAGTGCCAGTGCCACAGAGTCTTCTGTGGCGGACGCCGCCTACGAACGGCACATTCGACGTATTGAAAAGGACGTCGAATTGGAGGTACGAGAACTTGAACCAACCAACCACCCCCCCGACAAACTGAAGACGTCCAACACATCTGCAACCACGATAGTAACACACTGGGGGTGTCCTATAGGCGCAACACTCGATGGACATTCACCGCCACCACATCAAAGACTTGGACGAAATATCGTCCGAGAAGCGCAAGAAGCGCGCCAACGCCGAGCGGCTACAGGAAAGCATCAAGCTGCAGATGGCGGCAGCGGCCGCGGCCCGCGAGAAGCAGAAGCGCGTCCAAAATGGCACTGACCCGAGCGAAAACACGTTCTTGAGCCATAGCCAGCACAGTCGGCTTGGTTTCAACAGCGCCGACGCGCTCAAGAAGAACCAAAACAACTTGCACCAGTACTTAGAAGCTCAGGTCGTCCTCAGACTTGTTGTGTCATACATTCATGGCGGCCTATCTATCAATACCTATAGATGCTGGAGAAAGATCAAAAGCGACGAGAGGCGCGATCGAACGCCTTAGCGGACGACAAGCAATTCCTGGCCAAGTTGGAGCGAGATATCCAGGAAGACCGGGAGTATGTCACATCCGAGCAGCAACGACAGCGGCAGATCTTGACCCAGGCGTGGGAGAAGGATCATTCGATCAAGACTGCGACCAAACAAAGCCGCAAGATCATGCATGACCGCATCAAGACGGCGATCGCAACGTCGCCCGCTCGGCACAGCGCCGGCCACCAGGTTGGGGACGAAGGAGGTGATGACTTTTCTGTTGGGTTTGACAGCCGCGCCAAGTCCACGGGCAAATGAGAGCTCGCTCCATTGGACGCACACCCCATCACGACCCCGTGGGTTTGAAGCGTCGCGGGAGTGGGGGGATTTAGCTCATATGAATGCGAGTCCTGGATATATAAACGTACGAACAACGTTACTACTGTAGTAGTACTAGACATGGACACATGCAAAGTCGTAGTGTGCATTTTGCCTCACTGGGGATCATTTTTCATTGGAATATGTATTCCCATGTGCAAACTAGTATATTATTGTTGGGGTAATTAGGTCCAAATCTGGCAATTTCAGGTGGCCACTTCTCGCGGGCACATGGCTACGTCATGAACAGACATGATATAGATGGGGACGAACGATGGTGACACGCATAGGAGAAGAATGAAAAGTATCGATCGCTCGACCACGGTCCATGATGTGGTGTGGAATTGCGTGGCGTTGTGGTGTCGTTCGTGGTGCCAACTTGGCAATGATTGATAGTACGGTGTATTGGGAAAAAGAGGAGGGGGTTGTGATACATACTACGATAGTTGGGACTGTGATCATGGGATGCACGCCGACTTGGTCGATCTATCTATGCCGCCTCGGCATCTTCGTCGCTGCCATCGTCTTCATCGTTTTGCATTTCACGCTCCATCTTTTCGCGTAGGATTTCCACAATGGCGTTCTGTGTGCGACGCTCCAGCTTCTTCATCTGCTTCTCCAGTCCTCGTTCTAAGTCCCAAGTCGGTTTCTTCGGCGCGATGGTCAACACTTCGTCCGTCGTGTTGTCGTCGGAGGTCGCCACATCGCCGGCAGGGGACACCGACCCTTCTTGCGCTGTTAATGAGACATCTTTGACGACCACTACCTCTTCCTTCTCCTCTGCCGGAACGAACCCTTCCTTCTTGTCCCTCGCATCACGGAGTGCCTTCAAGCGCTTTGCACGGTCCGCTTGATCCATCCTTATTTGTCCAGAAATCGAATCGACCTTTGATTGGTTGAAAGTTGAGCTATGTGATATCGTTTCATTGGATGCATATTTGCCCAATCACGGTGTACCATAAAATTGCACATTTTTGAATTGTCGTTCAACCAGTAGATGCGGTAAAATGGCATGAATGTTGGCGAGGTCCGGAATATCCAGGCTCCTGTAAGTAGTAGTGGGAATCATATCCTACTGTAATCTACCATTGATATTGCCTAGTTACAGTGCTATCACACGAGTACTGTAGCTCGGAAACTATGGGAAAACGTTCAATAAATCTGGATACCGTTCAGCCAAGACTGAAAACCGTTCAAGCAAATTGCCTTCCCGTAACCTTGTAACCCCGGGACTTCGTCCTACCCCCGCGTGCACATACTTCGAAGTATAATGCTAAATCTCCGTGGTTAAGCGCATTACCAGTGGTTAGCTCTCGCTAACCACTGAGATACCGTTTTTCAAAGTTTGTCCTGTAGGTCGTCATAACAGGTGGAGATGTATGCTGTTCGTGCCTACTTTCTCAAAGGGTGCGCGGGGATACTATTAATAGTACGCATTTTACAGGCACGCCCTGGTTCCTGTACTTGCGTACAACCTATACACACAACGCCACCACAATTGGCCTAGTCTATGACGTGGCTGCGTCGTACAAGTTGGCGGTATATAGCCGCTACGCTTCGAATAATTCCCTCATTAAATCAGTACCACTGTTGTTCCTCTCACAAAATCCATTCAATTTGAGTCATTCCACCATTATTTGGCGTGAAAACAAGAGTGGTACGACTTAATGAGGGAATTATTCGAAGCGTAGCGGGGGGACATGCACCTTGCTCTGGGCTGTCAGTATCAAATACTAGTCCCTATTAACCAGCATGAAAAGTGTACGTTGACTGGTTCCAACTGAGCGGTGCAACTTGCCTACTCCTCCCGCAATGCTTGCCACGCACGCACTGAAGGGAGTGGCATCTAACTCCAAGAGGTTTGACGGAATGAATCGTTAACGTTACGCTAGAAATTCACATGTGCGAGTAATGTATGATTAAATTTCCGAGGGCTCGTTTGTGGGAGCAAATCCCATTCATGGATGTAAAACGGGGAAGAAAGACCTCAAAATGTCCTTTTCTCCCAACGGAACCATCCCCGAGAATGCTCAATTGGGATTGTAGCGATATAATTGAAATTTTCATTCCCTAGACCTTGTCCGCTTGCGATTGGTCCATATACAAGGAAGTCGCAGCTTCGAAATCCAACTGTTCGGACATGGCAAAATTTCTGCCCGTCCATGGCGCTATTTGACGTGGCTGTTGGTTGTTCAAGTAGGCAGCTCCACTGTCGATCTTGTTACCGAGTACACAGGGGGGATACGTACCATCAAGGTCATGGTAGACATTGCCATGAGCTTCTCCCCAACCACCGCTGCACGGCTCAAACGTCGTCGAGACAGCCATTTCTCGAGCGTCCTGCCACCCTCCGAGAAATGCTCCCGACGAAGCACTAGCGATTGCCCGCCCAACCATGCTGGCGTGTTGTCGGATCCCGGTGGCGTGCTCACCACTGCGTTTGAGCTATCCACGATTCAGACCGATTCCGAGGCCATGGTCATTGCCGCCGAAATGAGCATCGACTTCTACAACGAAGCGTTCGCGTTGTATAACATGATGTCTGACTTTCGAACCTCGGGCAGCGAAGCGACCACCATGGACGTGCTCATCGCCCGTCTCGACCTGCACGTCCACGACGAGCGCATCCTGGCCGACGTCGAGAACGTGCGCAACATCTATCGCGGCCTCATTCATGTGTTTGTGTACCTGTACCGCGAGCATTACCGGCAATTTGCCCAATTGGACATGGCGTCGCACCTGTCGCTGTGCTGGCATCGCCTCGTGGCATTTGCGACTGAGTACCGTGTTTTGGACCCCAAAGTCTTGCACGGGTCGTACGAATATACGATGTCGCTTGTTCGTCAAAAGTGAAGGGACACTCAACCGTCCATTGTAGTTGTAGAGTGTGACCGTGTAATAACAGGACAACAGTGAATAGTTTTGATTTTTGCATCTTCAAAACACTTTGAATTTGACACCATCACTACAGTACGTACTGTAGCGTAAAGCAGGCTCCGCCGTCACCAATATGAAGCGGCATCCACTTTCAGCCTCAACGCACAAAGCTCTCCGTAGCATGCGGTCAAGTCATTGAGAGGCTCTCATTATTCTACAGATTATGCAGCCGCAGTGTTGTTTCGTTGTCCACGTCGAGTCTACGTGATAGATACGATGGCTGTTGTGCATCAACGCTCCTGTAACAAAGATTTCATTGTAGCAGCATTGGCATTGCCATCCGAGAAGGACATGTAGCTAGGATGCGCAACAGTGCGCAGTGAGCTTTACTGCTTTAAGTTGGGGTGATGAAAAACGAAGAGTTTGGTGCATCAGAAGCAAAATAATCCACATCGATCGAGTCCAGAGGATTCGTTTAAGAGTAGCGATTCTAAGTTTCGTCATGTGCACGCAGGACAGAGACTAGTTACTGTAACTACTACTACGTAGTACATCTACAAGGGTGGAGTGTTGGAAGCATCAGACCTTTTTGTCTACACGGTTTGGCGAGCCGACTAAAGCTCTTTCGGAGTAGCTGATTAAGAATATCATTTGCTTCCACACATTCACAACGAGTTCACGATACTAACGACTAGGCCACAGCATGTAGGCTGGCCAACTGCGATCTGGAAATGAAGCATCCAAACCAACCTGGTGAAACTCCTTGCCGCCAACAGCCACCAGTCACATATCCGGATAAACGGCGCTCAAATCGCTGGACTCCAAGCAAATACAAGCGTCTGATTGGCTAATCCAATTGTTCGCCAATCAGTCGTCATACTCTTTAGATGATGCTTCAACTATTGTTTATACGACCATCTTGGCCCATACAAAGTAAGTGGTAAAACAATCTATGGCATGCCATTGAATGTTGTACAATGCTATACAATATCTACCGTTGTACCAAAAGGTTTCCCAGGTACGAGGATGTAGTTTGCACAACGGTAACAGCCCGCAGTGTGCAGAATTGGTATCATCTATTTCGTTCGAAACGAACAAAATAGATGATTTTGAATGAATGGATTCGCTGATTACTATGGTACTCAATTTTGGGGAGCAAAAATAGATGAAGCCTTTGAAACGAAAATGATTCAAGAAAAAAGGACAATCCGGTTGGGAAACGTTTTCCGGATGATTATCGAAACGTCAGATTCGGCGGCAGGATGGCGTCTGGCAAGTACGTACATGCTGCATGAAGGCACCCCGTGGAGGCTGACAACACGTGACGTAGGTCCAAGGTGAAGATGTGGAAGAACGCGTATGTGCACTTTGCAGACAAGAAACGCATGGAATTGACCAAGGAGCATCCGTCGATGGACAATGCAACCATCAGTCGCGAACTTGGCCGGCTGTGGAAAGGACTGCCGGCTGACGAACGCAATGTGTGGATCAACCTTGCCGCGTACGATCGCGCCCGATACGTAGCCGAGTGCCACATGGAGGCGACATTAGATCCATCGCCCCTTCCCGGCAAAGCATCCGCTCTTTCCACCACCTCCATCACCGTGGACACTTCGCCCGAGTACGACATGTCGTCGTTCTCCATGATGTCTCCCCATCCTCAATCATCTTCGCAGCCCACCACAACGTACGGAGATCCCCTCAGTCAATTCTCTCTTCCTCTTCTCGACACGACGCCGCCTTCGTTGCCGTCATCATCCAAGAAGCGCAAGCGGTCCACTTCGTCGTCAGGATCGCATGTCCAGCTAGCGTACTACTACTTTCGCCGCACGAAACGAGATTCTGTGCTGGCGGCCAATCCGTCCATGCTGTCTGCCGACGTGAATCGAGAAATCGGACGGCTGTGGCAAGCGTTGCGGCCCGAACAGAAGCAGCCGTGGACGCAACTGGCCATCGCCCACGCCAAGTCGAATCAATCCGACCAAAGCGTTGGTGCTGCGAACGTTCGTCCGAAACTCAAAGATCCGCTGGCCCCGAAAGCCCCTCGATCCGCGTTTCACTTTGTCGTGGAAGCTCGACGGATGGAACGCCCTGACATGACGTACAAGGAGGTGACCAAGGAAGCTGCGCACATGTGGCGCCACCTGCCCGACGACAAGCGGGCGCCATGGATCAAACTCGAACGCCAAGATCGACTGCGGTATACATGTATACATATACTCGTAGAAGAACAACCCCACCACAAACGTTTCAATCGCTTGACATGTACGTACGGTCTCCTAGCTACGAGCAACAGATCAAGTTGTACAAGGCGCCGTCGTACGCGCGTGATATTGTCCATAGTACAGACGAAGCCAGCACGAAACCACAGTCGGCCTACGCGCATTTCTTTCGTGAAAAGCGGACGTTGTACCCCGACTTGTCATTTGTGGACGTCACAAGGGAGTTAAGTCGGCAGTGGAAGCGCATGGCGGTTGACGCCAAGCGGCCGTGGCTACAGAAAGCCCTCGACGACAAACTTCAGAAAAAGAATAGGGGTGCTCATCACTCGATCTCTTCCGCGCACCCAACCGAGCAGCAGCAGGTCCGTCGTTGCTGGCACCTCTCCAAAGAGATGATGGGGCGGATCGACTAAAGAGTGTTGGGGATATGTCTAGAAGTTGTCGTCGTTGCCATCTTTGCTGCATCCTCGCCTAAGTCGTCGCAAACCACGGATTGGACCAACGAGACCCAAGTCGGCGTTTGTGCATTTTCAGCTGCACACAAGACACTCGATGCCGGACGTGCCGTACAAAGAGTACATGCAAACGATCGCCGCCATGTGGAAAGCCACGCCGGATGAAGGCAAGCGGCCGTGGCAACAACTCGCCAAGGAGGACAGCGAGAGGTACACCCGCGAGTGTGCGGCGGCGTCCGAAACTACCAGCAGAAGCAGCGCCACCACCACCATGGATCCATCGACGACATCCGGCGCACTTGCCGCCCACAACGCCGTACGTCGAAACCGATCCAATGTAGATGTTGACATTGCCTATGTTCATTAGACCCCTGGGGGTGCAAAGTCGCCGCTGGCAGCTCGGCTGCGTTATGGATTTGCATGCTTTGTGCAAGCCAAGAAGCACGACTTGTTGGCCACGACACCCCACTTGACCCACAACGAACTCTTGCATGAGGTAAAATATAGTATATAGCAGTGGAAGAAGCAATATATATATATGTTTATATGCTGACTTGTATTATACTTAGGTGGGCAAACTGTGGCGTGGGTTGTCTCCTATGGAACGCCAGGTACGATCGATGACCATCGATGATGGACCAACATGTGTGACATTGTATTTTAGCCGTGGCGGGAGCTGTTGGACACCCCCAAGACCCAGCAAGTTGTGGACCCCCAGGACCCGACCACGTCGACGGCGTGCTCGGCGCTCGAGGCAGACGACTCGACGCATCTGGAGCTCATGGAAGGGCTGTGGGGGGATGACGCAAGTGTGACGACGAGCATGTTTTACGAAGACGACTTGTCGCAGTCACACCATCACTTGTCGCTGCCGATGATGGAAGACATGGACGGGATGCAGCATCACAATCATCCGCACCATTCATCCGAGATGCACTTGCAATGAAACGACACACGATCGATAACATCGTCACACATGCAGAGAGTGTGGGATTTGCAGCCCCATCCCTACAGACAGTCTTGTTGTCATCTAATAACATCGTCACACATGCAGCTTGTTATCATCTAGTAACATCGTCACACATGCAGAGAGTTGGATTTGCAGGCCCATCCCAATAGACAGTCTAGTTGTCATCTAGTAACATCGTCACACATGCAGAGAGTTGGATTTGCAGGCCCATCCCAATAGACAGTCTAGTTGTCATCTAGTAACATCGTCACACATGCAGAGTGTGGGATTTACAGCCCCATCCCTACAGACAGTCTAGTTGTCATCTAATAACATCGTCACACATGCAGAGAGTTGGATTTGCAGCCCCATCCCCAACAGACAGTCTTGTTGTCAACTAGTAACACCATCACACATGCAGCTTGTTGTCATCTAATAACATCGTCACACATGCAGAGTGTGGGATTTGCAGGCCCATCCCTACATACAGTCTAGTTGTCATCTAGTAACATCGTCGCACATGCAGAGAGTTGGATTTGTAGGCCCATCCCAATAGACAGTCTTGTTGTCAACTAGTAACACCATCACACATGCAGCTTGTTGTCATCTAATAACATCGTCACACATGCAGAGAGTTGGATTTGCAGGCCCATCCCCACAGACAGTCTGATTGTCCTGGGGGGAAGGGGGTATATTTTTCATTGACGCTCTACGGAATGCTAAACACAAGCCTACAACATATCACTCGTTTCAAATGTCCAATGTTGTTATTCCACTTGATCACATTATAATAATGTTATGAAGTCAAAGCGTCCATCACAACGTGGACATTGCCCTTGGACGTTTCCAGCAGCGCCACGAGAATGGCCGTGTCGGCGTTCGGAACAATGATGCGGACAAGCGCCAGTTCTGCTGCCCATTTCGCCAGTCCGCGGGGATCGTCACTCGTGGACGGATTGGGCATGGCGGGGCTAGGAAGAGCAGGAGATGCTGCATGTGGTGGCGACATCTGGGACGCCGATCAGTCCCTGAGTGAGCTTCGATGTCTCGGCAGCGGCCACCACCTTGATGCTGTAGGCAGTTCGTTCTACTTCGGTAGTTTGCCAAGGTTGTTCAACTGCAACGATCGTTCGATCGTGCATTGAGTGGGAGCCAAGGATACGTCGACGGCCTGGTCTGTAGCAGTGTAGACCACAACAGCGTCATGGGGGTTGTGCAGGGTCAAAGCGGACAGTGAGCAAGTATCAAGTTGGTCCTGCTGGACGACGGCGCCAGTGCGCATGCTCTCGGCCACATGGCCATGAAACATGGCTTCCGTGTTGGACACAGCAAAGAAGCGAAGGCTCTTGCGTTGAGAAAATTGGCTCTCACATGCATCGTGAAAGTCGTACGTCGATCGCATCGTGTACAATGCTGCCACGCTGGTCGTCCTTGTACTGAATTGCAATCGACCCATGGCACAGCCTGAAGGTGGATGCAAACAATTCCTGCAGGTCGTGGAAGCCGAAGGTCGCTAAGTCGACACGGATGCGATGGATCTCACCGCGATATCCAATCTTGAGCGACGCTGGCGACTCCATCGCCTGAGCGGCGCCGTCCATGATGGCGGCGAAAAGTTGAACGAGCTCGACTAAAAACCTACATTCCTGATTGGGTTGAATATTAAAATATCGACAGCAATTTGATTATTTTGGTGAAATCGAGGAAATCTTATCCGGATCATTGAGCGCTGGGAAGATAATTGGGATCGGCGGCCGCGGTGGGACGATGTCGACGTACGAGAAGACGCTGATTCCTCCGCTGAACTTCTCCATGGTGGACTCTGGTGTATACCGTTCAGGGTTCCCGAACAAGAAGAACCATGCGTTCCTGCAGCAACTCGGCCTCCGGTCGGTCTTGTACCTGTGCCACCAGGAGCATCGCCCCGAGAACATCGTGTTCTTTGAAGAAAACAACATTCAAATCTTCCAATGTCCCATCGACGGCAACAAAGTATTCCTTCTTCCTTCGATCTTCCTCCGTCCTAAGTCATGTGATGTACGTAGGAACCGTTCTTGGGCATCCACCCCGAAGCCATGATCAACGCACTGCGCCACTTGCTGGGTACATACCGTAGATCCATCCATGCATATCCATCCCCCTCGTCCGTCCCCGCATATGATACATCATTCCCTATCGTGCTTAGATGTGCGCAACCACCCCATCCTCGTCCAATGCACCAAGGGAACAGTAAGCCGCCGACACTTTTCCTCATCAACATGCAAGCAGCACTAACGTTGCCCATCATGACTGTAGCATCGCACTGGATGTGTGGTCGGGTGCCTCCGCAAGGTGCAATACTGGTCGCTCACTTCCATCATCGACGAATACTGCCGCTTCGCCGGTCCGCGCATGCGCCTCCTGGACCAGCAGTTCATCGAGTTCTTTTCCCCAGTCATCGACTACGACGCGTCCCACGCACCACGATGGCTCTATTGAGCTCATATTATATACACATGTCTACTACAGCACCGAGTCTTCTTGCGTGGCGCTGCCACTGCTCGTGCTGTCATTGTTGGCGCCGTCGCGGGTCATGGCGCGCGAAATGTCGGCCACCTGCGTGCTCCACGCACAACATTAATACACACACATCACCCTTCCTTTTGTCATGCATCTTACCTTTTCTGCGGCAGCCACGAGCGCATCTTGGTCCGCCTCTGCCGCCTTGCGGGACTTGATTGCCATCTTGCTGGACTCGCTGGCTTTGCGGATGGCAGCGGCGAGTCTCGTCGAGGCTCGATGGAGCTCCACTTGCAGCGCCGCATGTGACAGAGGGTGCCCATCCGCATTCACGAGCAGGTCCGATGGCGAGTCCTGCGAACTGTTGACCGTGCTCTGCGAGTTGGACTGGTACCGCCGCTTCTCGTCCACCATCATGGCGACGTTGTCGATGCTAAGTTTGATCTCATGCAGCTGCGTGGACGGCTGCTGTTCCTTTGCATGCGATGCCTAATCAAACAAGTTAGTTATAGTATATATATATATTATATATTATTTTTATACCTCGACCTGCCACCGATGGCTTTCGATACGCAATTGGGCGTTCTCGTGTCGCAACGCGTCCACTTCGTGTTGAAGTGCCACGATGCGGTCGTCATTCTATACGAATATGATTTCGTTAAATATATATATATATATATATATATATATATAAATGCATGAATATATTTCTAGGAAAATACTTAAATATAGATCACATTTAGATGAAAAATAGACGAACCTGTATAGACAAAAGTTCTGCGTCCAAGGGCCGAGGCACAACCGTTGGTGCCGACTGTTTCGACGATTCCTAGTGTCCGAACAACAACAGCAACTATCGTCAGCTCCAACGATAATATTATAATTTATTAGTAACTAATTCTAATTTAGATCAAAACCGAGTTGTAGAATTAATATTTGAAGTTTTTAACATAGATTTATTACAAAATAGAATTATCTGAAGTCAACAAGACGTTGTGTGCAACGATTGAAATACGTTCGTTGGCATGATATATATATATAAATATTATATATATGCAGTATTGTGGATTCGGTACAAATTTCCAGACCCCGACGAATCGAATAATCTTGCCGCCCACTCGAATCGACGCTATTGGCTAATCCAAATTCTTCGAGTGGATTTCATTGGCTCTTACAGAACGGACAAGTATTTTCAACCAATCAGAACTCCAGCGTGATTCAATATTGATTAGACAAACCACGTGAATAACTTCGAATGTACAATACCTTCATGTCTCCATCTGCCGTAGCGACGCCGCCGCCGCCTCCCGGTCGCGTTGTCACATCCAGGCGCTTGAGGGGCTTCTGCGGCGCTTCTACAAGACCATAATTCCATCAACATAGTCAGTAGAAGCGACAGACCTGGCGAGTCCGTCGCGCTTCTCTTGCGCTTGAGCAGACCCACAGGCGTGACGGGTGGCCGTGGCAAAGTCGCCTCGTCTGTGACACTGATCGTGCCCACATACACCCCCGGGGTATGCACATTGCCGTAGCGTGGTCCTGGCTCTCGGCGTTTGATGCGCTCCTTGCCGCCCAAACACAATAGCGTCTACCGTGTCGCATGATTTCACATGAAAACCAAAGTAGGCTTGTTAAAGTTGGCTTCTTACCGTGGCGTCGACTTGCACGAGCACCGTGTTGGCGCGTTTCGAAGGAACAGACCCTGACATGACCACGTTCACGACGTTGTTGGTCTACACACAAGACCACACTCAAGATAGATATTTTATATCCTACATATATATATATATAAATATAAATATATCCATATTTAAAATATGGATCCATATATACTACTACGTAGTGTAAATATCCTAAATATGTATATACATCTTTCATATATATAAATATACATGTTAAATATATATATATATATATATTAACACCTTAAATAGACATATATACATGTTAAATATATATATATATATATATATATATATATATACATGTTAGGTATATATATACATCTTAAAATATATAACTACAGTATATACATCTTAACAGTAAATCTATATATCCTCTTATATATCGTATGAAAGGGTGGGTACGTACCTGGATATTGAATGCCCACGGGTCTAATATCGTGTAGCTGCTGACGTTGGTGCCTCCCAAGTAGAGCAAAGTGTGGCCGTTTAGCCACGCCACCTGCACCCAAAATCATTCAAAAAGTGACTAGTTGGCATCATCTTTGTTGGTTCGAACCAACCGAATGGTCGAGCCGCGCGGCGTTGATGGGCTTGACATGGTCGAACTTGATGTCTCGCCATCGCGAACTCCGCGGCGGCACCGCGCGGGTCACGTCCAAGAGCCGCAACGGACTGGACTTACTCATGACCGTCATGGTCTGGCCGTCGACGGCAAACGCGCACCCCCCGTTCAAAAAGAGCCGCGAGCCCGCCGCCGCGAGCGCAAAGTATGCGCGGGATGCCGACTGGTCACGTTCTTCGGGGTGGTACGTCACGTCCAAAGTCTAGAGACGGCGGTAGATGAGCGCGGATACACGGACCAACAAACCTGGTGGCATGTACGGAGATAACGAACGACTGGCTACGTACCTTGGGATCAAACACGATCACGTCGTTGTAGTACCGAGTCGAGTTGATGCCGACGTCTTTGCCGCCATAGCACACGATGCGACCGTCCGCCAAGACGGCGGTCCCGTGGCCCAGACGTCCGGCAATCATGCTCGGAGCGTTGTACTTGACTGCCTCCCACGTCGCCGACAAAGTTGCGACGTCGACGCGGAACTTTTGAATCTCAAACAAATGCTGGAGAAAACGTTCCTCCTTTAGAGTGCCCATCGCACGATTCCCAAACACGTACACGTCAGCCCCCACCGCCACCATGGTGTGATATCTAGGTGAAAATATGTACAATCACGACAGGAATGGTCGCATGCATCATGCACCTACTTGTTGTGTCCGCGAGTAGGAGCATTGAACGACCGCAAACGCTTCCATTCTACGGTTGGTGTAGCCCCAACAGGTGATGGTGTTGCTGTCGCCGCCGCCGCCGACGGTGGTGTGGTCTCACCAACAATCGTCATCAACCACACATCTGGAAGTGGCGTGTCCGCCTTTTCGCCCTCGGACAACATCGCGCCGCCGTACACGATCACTTGGTTTAACGTTCCTGCCTGGTCATTCGGTCGGAACACCGTGGCGGCATGCGCATACCTCCGCGTCGGATCTTCCATCGTGATGTCCGTCGTTGGCGCGGCCTTTTCCCATCGGATATGTGTCGTCGTGGTCATGCTTCTTGGAAATTCAAAAGTGCGACGACAAAATACGGCCGGTCAATCAAATTTGACCAATCACAGGCTAGTATTTGTGAAAAATGACCTGCATTCTTAAACTAAAAAGACCAGCACTCTCAAAATAAGTGTGGCTATTGTGAGCCAAGGCAAGAAATTGGTGTCGACAAATGCAAGTACAGTACACTTTACGTGGGAGCTGGACGTTGCGAGGAAGGAATGCATGTCCAGAGCCCAAGTTCGGCTACTATGCGTCGCCATTACGCGCTGCCTAGCCAAGCGGCTATCCATTGGCAGTAGCTATCTATCTCGGTCGAACGGTCCGACAAAAGTTAAACCAAGGGCACAGTTTGAATGACAGGTATTGCCGCACGTGATGCCATCGGTGCATATGTCTCTGCCTCCAATTGACATGTGCGGCCCGCGCTTCGGACACGGTCGCTATCTTGGCCGCTAGCTTGGTGGGAGTTAATTGGAGATCGTCCACAAGTATGCGCGCGCATGCTTCGATGACAAAGCAGGCTCGACGTTGGTGTTGACAAACATGATGGTACTGATGGAGCAAAGTGTGAGATGTACTCGTCGAAATGTCATTCGTTAGCTCTAGATGCGTGGCTGTTCTGATCGCGGCATGCCTAAAGCTCACTGTTCAAATAACAGCGCAGCAGATTCCGACTGCATTACAGTACTGTAGTAGTACAAGTGGATTGCATCACGGCACCGAAGAGTTAAGAAATCTACTATGTATTTGATGGTTACACAGAGCCAAACTGTAGCTTTACTCGAGACTGACATGACTTTACGTTCCGAGAAAGGGCCCTCACATGTCCACCAACTGGTTCACGACCACTTGCAAATTGCCTTTGGCTGCTTCCAACTTGCGCACAACATCTTGACCACTCGCAGTCGGAATCACTTCTTGCACCACCGCCAGCTGCGCAGCCCACTTCAACGCATGCTCTGCCGTCAAGGCACTTGCTTCAGTGGTGGACACTTCAAGTTCTTCGTCCGGAACAACAACAGCTGCAGGTTGTTCCGAATCAGTGTCGGGTTCAGGGGTGTGGCGCCAGTCCCCTTGGCTCGCGTCGTCCACAGGCTCCTCGTGGACATCAACCTCTTCGTCACCAACGACGGACTCGTCGTATTGGTTGGACACGCATGTGTCCTCCACCAACGATGGTTCCGGGGAAGCCACGGCCGCCTCCGTCGTGGTCGTGGGTTGTACAGGCAGCGCATCGAAACGGAATCGCTTTGTTGTTTCCGCTAGATGCATGGCCTCGTTGAAGTCTGCGACAGTGTCCACATGCACGTAGTCGCCGTCGTTGTCCTTGTACTTGATCGTGAACGACCCAGGGGTTAATTCAAGCTTGTGATGAAACAGCGCTTCGAGGTCGGCCAGGGTAAAGCTCGTCGCGCGGACGCGGATGCGATGAAAATGGGCTTGGAACCCGAGCTTGACCACGCGCTCATCCGACGTGTTCGACGGTTGGTTTGCATGGGTGGAAAAGGGACTAGACGGCTGGGTGGCGTCGTTGCTCGGGCGATGGAACAACCCGCGGGGGGACTGGGCCAACGTTGTTGTTGTCGAGTTGAATGCCATCAGTGGCACGACGTCGGACCCGTCCATGACGTGCGCGCATCGAGTGGGCCAGCTATTACTCGTCTGCTTTGATTGGCTGTTGCTGTGATGGGAACACGACAGCTGAAGGAACGTGGCCACTTGGCCGAGCAAGTCGTCGTTGGCTTGGTGGCCAAACGTAGCACATAGCTGCATTAGCAGGTGCGACTGCGTGCAATAGTGACGCTGTAGCTGGCTCAACAGCGTTTGAAACGTCGACAGTTTGGCAGGATTTGCGTGGAAGCGCTGGTGCACCATGCGCACAAACGAGTCGGTGGTGGCGAGCGAAGACACCGCGGCGGGCGCGGTGGTTGCAGGAGTAAAAGTCCACGGCATGTGTACCTTGGTCGGGTGATGACATCCAAACGAAGACGACGGCGCTGAGCCAGGGACGTTGAGCTCGTAGCATGGCGACGTGAGCTCTGGCGTCGTCTTGCCCGGAGTCGGCGAGTTAAACGACACCAACCAGTCCGATGATGGGGGGGCGGCTTGGGGGGTCACCGCAGCGGGGGTGGTAGTAGCTGCCCGCTCGAACGCATGGCTAGACGGAGTAGTCACCGCAGCAGGCTTGCCGAACCCAGGCAATGGTTTGGTGGAGGAAAAGCTTAACCCAGTCTTGTGAGTGTTGGACGAAAAGAAGTTCAGCCCAGTCGATGACGGCGGTGTCGACGCAGTGGCGGCAAGAGGCAGCGAGAACGACCCAAAGTCGCCTAACTTAGCCGGCATGGCCCGAGGCACCGCTGCGACTTGCGTGGGGCGTCCCTTTGGCGGCAATTGAGGGGGGGTGTAGCCCTGCTGGCCAAACAATTTTTGCTCGTGACTACTCTTGGTGGGGGCTTGGGGGGCTGCGTCCATGAAGGGGCTTTCGGCGACCACCGTCGAGCTGGACTGCGTGGTCGGTTTCCCAAACGAAAACGACGGACGGGACTTGGGCGAGTGCAGTGATTCCACATATTCGGCCGTCGTCGTCGTGCAGTGCGGGACCAGGGACGACGTGGACCATATCAACGGCTGCTTGCTGCTAGTACGCGCAGTAGGTGCAGCAGTACTCTTAGGTGCAGGTGGGGGTGTAGCAACTGGTTGCTTTGCAAACGGGCCAAAGGACGACGTGCGGGGGGGCGTGAGGTCGTAGTTGCGGTACATGTCGGGCAAAAAGATGTTAAACCCCGCGACCAGCGACGGGCGCCCTTGAAATATCTCCAGCATGCGGCGATACTTTTCCGGGACTTCAACCCTACCATTTAAACGCAAACCCAATGACCTGCCATTCTCAAACGTACTTTGCAATACGTACAAGAAGGACTGCAGGCCATCCATAAACTGGCGGTAGAGCTCGTCTTGGTCGCCAATTTCGACGCGCACTAGGTCCAGGTAGTCCTGGACTGCTTTGGACGCTTCTTGGCTGGTCGTGGGATGGTGGTGTCCTGCCTCAAGGTCTTCATGATGCAATGTATGGAAGTGCTGGGGGTGATGCGATGTTTGGTTGTTACTAGGCATGGGATACGGTATTGTACTGGATGGCGTACTAGTAGTCGTTGGGTGAGGTTGATTGCTAGAATTGACGAATGGCAACTTGATGCGTGTCAACGGTGACCTATTTCCATCCACTTTGAACCGTTTTGCACATCTCCATGTCAACTTTAGCCAGGGTAACCCCCCTCAACCTATTCTTGGCTACACAATCCATGCTAGCCGTGATGTGGAATAATGAAATGAGCTATTCTACAGTATTTGTACGTATATTATAGTGATGTCATAGAAATTGTATTATTATTACGATCAGATTGATATGAAAGGCGCAACGTTGATTATATAATAATTTTATCTATTTTAATAGATAAAATTATTATATAATGTAGTAGTATACTCCGGAGTTAGTAGTATACTCACGTTGTTGTGTACAGTGTGTCAAGCACACAATACCATACAATACTACTCAATTATTAATAATAGTACTACGTAGTACTATTAATACGAAGTATTATTAATCAATGTATTTCTAATACTATTACTAATAGTATAGGTTTGGCGAATGGTGGCGAATGGAGCAACGACATTATCAGTATATAAAGAATAATATTATCTACTTCGATGTAGTGTTCCTCCAGCCGTGGGTGGAATTGCAACGGGCAATAATATTTTCATGTAAAAAGATAATATAATATATACGTAGCTCCTTGGCTCGTTGAGCACGATCTTCGATTCGATGCATCGTTAGCTGGCGCTTTACAACTCGACTAGCTGGTTCAAGACCACATGCACGTCGCCGTTCGCCGCTTCCAGCAAGGCTACCACAGAGTCCGACGACGACGTGGGGAACACTTCGCGGATCAATGCGAGTTGCGAGGCCCACTTCAATTCTTCCGCGGAAGGAGCCGGCGTCGTCTCATCGACAACTTGCTCCCATTCGGATTCGGCGGCTCCCGGCACTGGCACCGCCACTTCGATTACGTCCTCCATGGGCGCGTCGACGGCGACGGCCACGGGGGCTTCGGCTTCGTGGTCCACCGACACGACCGTGACCTCGACAGTGTGTTCCTTGAGTTTGTTCAGTTCGCTCACCAAGTTGTTGGCGTAGGTCGTGGCAACGACCGCCGCGGCCTTCATGCCTTCGGTGGCATCTTTCATGAAGCGGTCGAAATCGATTTCGTTCAAGCTTTGCTTGATCTTGTCGAATTCAATCTCGTTCAGACCTTTCTTGGCCGCTTCAAACGCAACCTTCGACTCTTCCACCGTCTTCGAGGCCAATGGGCCCAACACGGCACCGGCTTCGGCCAGCTTTTCGCTCACGATCACACTGGTTTGCGTTAACGTTTCGTTCAACACAGCACCGGTAGTGTGCACGGCATCAGTGGCCTTGACGGACCACACACCCGCGTTCACTTGGGCTTGGGACGCCCATTCCCCAGCACTTTCTTGGGCTTTAGCGGCAAAGTCTCGGGCGTTCTCCTGGGCCTTGGCAGCCCATTGTTCCTGCTTGACCTTTTCCATGGCTTCGTTCAATGTTTGCACCAAGTGCTCGATGACCTTGAGGATTGGCTCCGCAACGTTGTCATGGAAGACCAATTGGGTCGACGGCACGGCAATGAAGCGAAGGCTTTTCACGGCGTCGTCCGACGAGGTCGAGAAGAAGCGAACAGCTTCGGCGAAGTCCGCCGCCGACTTGACGTTGACGTGGTCGGTTTCGTTGTCCTTGTACTGGATCACGAAGGTGCCAGCGTTCAAGGTGAACGTGGTCTCGAAGAGCGCTTCAAGGTCCGCAAACGTGAACGCCGCCAGATCGACGCGGAGGCGGTGAATCTCGCCGTTGAATCCGACCTTGATCGCCGTCAATTGTTGCTGCTCCATGTTGCTGGGGTGGGAAATATTCTCAAATGAAGAGGCGGAACTGGGCCGTGGTTCTGGTATACAAACGTCAAGATATTATTTCGAATGAGGGTGCTTACTTTGTTTGATCTATTTTAATGATACTACCGTTGTAACTGTCACACGTTGGGTTTAATGTTTGTCCCAGAATCCCTGCGTTTAACGACTACTGTTGCAATCATTCGGTAGTTGGAATTAAAATGGATGGCCAAAAATGTCATTGAACCCAGGGAGTTCAAACGAGAGTGAATGTACTGATTCTTACGTATGATTGGTCAATTCTAAGTTCTTCACCGAATACGGTATATTCTACCAATCACAGGCCTATACGACAGTACTTCAAGCGAAGACGCGTCTGGTCGAACTACATACTTAAGTACTACGTAGTAACATGGCATTTGTTTGTCTCGTTGTTTGTATACTATATTTGTCCCATACGTTTTTCCCCGAATTGGACGAAGTTTTGTGCAAAAGTAGCTTGGAAGCTGATCCTCCAATCAATTAGCCAGATTTCAGAGGATTTTTCTCGCATTTCATCCAGAATGCAGTCCAACCTGAACTCCTGAGCTCCGCGCAAGTACAGTACGGTACACTGTACATTTCCCTTCGTCCGTGCTACTATTTCACTGTAGATAACCAAAGGTTCCTGTGCTGGCATACACTCGGAATGACCGACCTGCCCATGCATTTTGTACAGGAACGTTAGCAGCACTTTTGTGTATCCATCCAGCGTTCTTTTGTGAAATCGCCTTTCTCTTTCGGTTTCAACGGTTTTGTCGCCCTTCCGACCACTTTCCAGTAACGTGATTGGCCAGCGCCGATTCGGCAAATCGGTTTCGCTTTTGCTACCATGTCAATGCAAAATGCCATCACGAACATCGTTTAGCGGCGGCAGTGCGGCCATCTTGGTGGCGCTACTGGTGGCTATTGTCCTTCAGACGTGGCACCACCCCTCATCATCCTTCTCAGTGCGCGGCATTCCTTCCATAGAATGGCATGACTCGGTCCTCCCGAGCTTGCATGCGGCGCGGACACCAGTCTTGCTCGTCCATTCCCCAACTGACAAGTGGAACACGGCGCAGTGGACGCTTGCGCACGTTCTGTCGCGTTTCAACCGAATCACTGTTCATTCTGCTTCCCCACCTGTATTCAAGCACTACGACCCGAGCTTGGAGCTCAGCTCCGTGTGTCCCCGTCCTTTCAACACGTCGACGGTCAACACCTCATACGCCCACGCACTCCTCACGTCCACCCACACCGACAGGGACCAACACGACGATGTTCCATCCACTGGCTACTACATCAATGACGAGCTCCGCCTTCTGGCTCCGCACCTCGCCGCCGACATCCGTCCAACGTCGCCGTTCGTCGCGCCCTCGGCGTCGTCCTCGACGTTTGTCAAACTCTGGGTGGGCGGGCCAAAAGTGGTCGCAAACCTACACTACGACGCAACGCACAACTTTTTCCACCAGATCCACAGCCCTAAAACGTTCATTTTGTTTCCCCCCGATGCCTTCGACTCGTTGTACGTGCACTCGCGACTGCATCCCAGTCATCGGCAGTCGCAGCTCGACCTGACGTTGCCCGAGGCCGACCTCTTGGCCCGGTTTCCTCGGTATCGGCATGCTTTACCATGTACTGTACATGACATCTAAATTCGGTAATGATTTGAATGCTCGTAGCTCGAGTACAAGTGACGTTGCAGCCTGGGGAGACCATGTACCTGCCTCCATTTTGGTTTCACTGCGTCATCACGACAGCGCCGTCGATATCGGTCAACGTGTGGAGTGACAGCATGGAGTTGTCGTTGCTGGAGTCGTTGCTGCAGAACGCGATGCCGTACCTTTCCTCGTTTGAAGCCCACGGATGGGTGCACGACCTGCCGAGTCACTTGTTTGCGTTGCAGCTGTACGTCACCACTCTACTAGGCCGAGTGATGCCACACCCCCGAGACTGGATTGCCATGCACATCGACTCCATCACGTCGTCTCAAGGAGGTGCCGGTGCTGCTACTGCTTGGCCCCTCGACCCCTTCGACTGCGGCGCCCCGTCGCCTTCTCGTTGTACTCTCCAACGCATCCACGACGCCATGAAGTCCCATGTTGACAAGGTCATGGCGACCTCGTTCGACAGAATGCCCACGAATGCATCCAAGGTGATCTTGATGTCCAGCTTCGTCGAGGCAGTGCTGGCCCATACAGTCGACCCCGTGCACGTGCCTGCCTTTCTGCACGCATGCATCGCAACCCCCGACGAACGCGATGTCTTTGAAACCATCACCACCAACCATTGATCAAGCCCTACGTACTATATATAGTATGGGAGATATAGTTTTGGCAAACTAATGTATTGTCGATTTGATACAAATTTGGGGAGGGGGTGCAATCGACCAAACCGATCCACAATCGATCTGATTGGTTGAATTTCATTGAGAAGGTTTTGATTGGCTAATAATTTTGAGCTAATCTGAAGTCGCCAATCAAATCGATTTAAATTCCAACGAGAAACCACGCCACAACACGAAATTTCACTCGAAAGCACAATAGTACTACAGTAATTTGTATCGACACTGTGAATAGACCAACCAACGTTGCCATTACAGTATTACATGTAGTACAGTACCTAGTACATATTGATGTTTGTACTTTGTTGCTCGCCGTTCATTGGACAACGTCAAGTGCAAGTTGATATTGACCATGCTACAGTACTACTGTATGGTCTGCAAAACGGTTTACTGGCGTCGGCTGATACTATATAGCAGTAACGTTCTCATAAACATAGCATCGTGCTGCTGTCATCGTTACCCACGATAGTATTGCACGAGATTCGCTCTTCTACTACTTAGTATTTACTCCGAGTACTACTTATAACTCACTCCTAGCCACCCATTCACCCCCTTTGACGAAGCCATCGGCGTCATGTGTGCAACGACAGACTGATCTCATTCGTCTGGGGCGGTCGTCAGGTCGTCAGTACTATTCGAGCCAAAGTAATCGACTGGGGGCATGTGGAGACGGGCCACCGGACTTGTGTGCCATCCCACGGGCAGGGGGCTTTGTTCTCGCTCGAGCAGCACCGCATCCCTACCCCAGTCTGTATACATATGTATTGGCTATACATTACGTACCCCGTGACGCTGATCATGTTGTACACTTGGTTGCGGTACAGCTGGCTCGACTCGATCGGTACGAGGCGGAAGCTCAGCATGGCGTTGCCGCCTAACGCGCGGACATGGGCGCGGACAACCGAGATCGCTTCCGACAGAAACAGATGGAAGAACGCGCCGAGTCCGCCGCACTCGCGCACGGTCCAGCTCTCCTTGATAAAGTGCAGCGTGATGCGCCCGAGGTACCGCAAGATCTTGGCGCCAGGGACATACGACAGCGGCGTGAGTTCGATCCATTCCCGGGCGTGGGGGCCGATAAACGCGGCGATGTCCGCGGACGGACTCTGGGGCGGGCGAAACGACGAGGCGTTCTGGAGGATCTGCAGGCGAAGCGACGAGTGATCGGATGGCTCCCCGTCGTCGTCGTCGGCATCGTCTGGTTCCAACGACGTGGATCGTCTTCCCGCAAGTGGAAGGAGCGAGTCGAGTGGCGGCAGCTCAGGCCCGGCCAACATGGCCATCCCCATCAGAACCACTTCAATCTACAACAAAATAAAGATATATGAATGCACTTGGCCATTTCCATAGTCCGTTGACACGTATTCACATCCCCAATATATATATTATATATATATACATATATATGGAGGAAACCCAAATATGTACATATATATATATATATGGAGAAAACCCAAATATGTAAATATATATAGATCGTACCATGTTGTCGCCGGCAAGTGCCACCCGCGTGCGGAGCCCACACACAACACACGGTGCAAACGCGCGCAGTTTAAACAGCAAACTAATAAAATATATATATATAAATCAAATTTTAGGATGAAAAAGTAATATTTTCAGGTTGACAACATATCGAAACATGATCACGTTTGAGAGTTTTTTTTGCCACATCAACCACCAAAAGCCCCCATATGTATGTCATGTTTGGTTGACAAAATATACCATATTTAGGTATCACGAAAACATCACTTTAGGGCCCGTCTGGTAAATTGAAATATTTCAATATTCGGGCCCAATACGCCATTTTGGGACCAAATTCAATAAATCTGATAAGAATTGAAACATGTTTGAAAGTTTTAACCCAAATCCAATAAATACTTCCACGTGGGATTTACTCGTTAAATAGGTCCAAAACGCCACATTACTACAAAATGGACGACCTTTTACACCTCCATTTTGGTTTATCCTATTTTACGAGAAAATGGAATATTATTTTTGAAAGGTTACCCGACGCACCCTTACCAATCAACCACCATCCATCTCATTTTCGTATCACTTTCGAAACATCAGAGTTTTTCCGACGACCACCATGTATTAATACCTAGTAAAGAGCATCTTGAACACATGTGAAAAGAGCACGTTCACGCGCGTGTCCCGCGTGTGCTCTTCGTCCCACTCCACTCGTTTCATGGACAGAAACAGGTGGATGTTGGCGCCATGCTGGGTCGTCCCTGGCAGACTGTCCGTGTTGCAGATCGACACGCCCTACATCCCCATAAGCAACCAACATAAGGATGTGCTTAACTATTCAGTAGGTGTGGCGGAGATAGAACGACCCACCCCCACTTACCTCAGGCAACGGCTGCTCCAGGAGTACCGACATGAGGTCCTCGTCGGTCTCGTCGTCGATCTCCAATACAAACGGGTGCTTGTTGTCTCTATAAAAACGTCATGAGTACAATTTCTCGGTCTTTCCCGTAGCTCCATAGCATATTTTCCCATGGTATTTATTTCACAAGAAATCTCACACACTCAAATGTCCCTATTTCAACCCATGTTGCATACAAACTCTCACACCCTCGAAAATGTCTCCATTCAAAATCTCACACTCTGAAATGTCCCATGTCAAACCAAATTCTCACACACTCAAATGTCCTCCATTCAAACTCTCGCGCACACACAACTCAAATGTCCACCCCCGTTGATGTGACCATATGTGAAAATCTCACACTCTGAAATGTCCCCATGTCAAAACAAATCTCACACACTCAAAAATGTCATCAAACTTTCACATACTCAAATGTCCTCCATTCAACAACTCTCGCACACACAGCTCAAATGTCCACCACCCCCATTGATGTGTCCATATGTGAAAATCTCACACTCTGAAATGTCCCCATGTCAAAACAAATCTCACACACTCAAAAATGTCATCAAACTTTCACATACTCAAATGTCCTCCATTCAACAACTCTCGCACACACAGCTCAAATGTCCACCACCCCCATTGATGTGTCCATATGTGAAAATCTCACACTCTGAAATGTCCCCATGTCAAAACAAATCTCACACACTCAAATGTCATCTACCTTTCATATACTCAAATGTCCTCCATTCAAACTCTCGCACACACAACTCAAATGTCCACCCCCGTTGATGTGTCCGTCCATATGTGATTTTTGTTGACCACTCACCCGTTCGAGTCTGAATTCACCACTTCATCATCCGATTCTGACGACGAGTCCGACGACGATCCCTTGTCCTCGTCCGCTACCACCAGCACCTCGACGGTTCCTTCCATCGACGGCTTGCGCTCAATGACGTCGTCCTTCTTTTTCAGCTTGCGAAGCGCGCGCTTGTGGCCTAGTCGGTCGTCCGAGTCGATTTTGGCGCGCTCGGCTTTGAATTCGGGCGGCACGACACACTTTGCGTCTTGTTTCATCTATATACCACTAGATCACACCATGACATATATATATATAAATAATAGGATTTTTTTTTTCAATAAAAAATGTATTTTTATCTATAAAAGATGATTTTTTGTCATCGACATAATGACTTTTTCGTTCGTGGTGTCGTCTGTCGTTTGTATGTATCAAACGAGCAAACATAATAATAATAAAATTCATCTATATACCACTAGATCACACCATGATATATATATATAAAAATAAAAGGATTTTCTTTTTAAAATAAAAAATGTATTTTTATTCATAAAAAGAAGATGATTTTTTGTCATCGACATAATGACTGTTTCGTTCGTGGTGTCTGTCGTTCGTATGTATCAAACGAGCAAGCATAATAATAATAATAAAAAGTTTTTTTTTTTGATCGATAGAATGATTTTTTTTCATGTCGTTCATACCAACGCCCGGTTGCGATTGCTCTTGGCTTCGATTTGAGATTGCAACTGCACCAACCGCCGGTCTTCGTCGTCTTTGACCTGGATATATATATATATTTTATATATTGTCATCCACAAAAATGTGAATATATTTATTCGAGTTGTATTGTTGTTGCTGCTCACCCATGAAACAAATATTATATATATATACATATACATTGGACTCACGTCGATGTTGCGGGTAATGCGCAACGGTTGCGGCATCGGGAGCGCTGGTAAGTAAATACCCGTGCCCGTGATAATCCCAATCACAAACCCGCCACTGATCTACAAGTAATAAAAACGATCTCTCATTATTAATATAGCTCCATTTACTAAAAGTTATAGCTATTTGTGGACATATCGATTTGACTTACTTGCACTTGTGACTCAAACCCAAACAGCGCGTTCACACCCAGGACGCGCATCTTGGCCATGAGCTATATTATTCACATAATAAATGTGTTAATTTTAACGTATTGATACATAAAAAATGTGATTTATTTATTTTAGCATAATATATAATCATTCAGAGGAACGTTCATCAAAGGGTTCGTTCTATCTATGGCGGTAGTTACCTGCCGATGCATTTCGTACTCCAAGAACGGCAGCGCTTCCGACACGATCGTAGCGTTGGCATCTCCCGTGCCTCGACGGCGCTGACTACAAAATAGATCACCACCAAGAAAAATCAATAAAATCCACAAACAAAATCAATAAAAAATATATATATATTTCATTGATCCCACCAACCGTCCACCAAAACTTCACATCGTCGCGTTTATTTCATTATTTGTTAAAAGCAAAACATCAATACACAATATTCCGTCCATATATATATATATATATACAGGTGACCCCCATCCATCCATCCACATGCATGTTTTGCCACATATACTGCGCATATACTTTGTGATTGCACGAGTTCGACCCGCCGAATCACTACGTACCGGCATACTCGAGCTTGGATGAACGTGCCCGAGCCTGTGATAGCCATGCCGCAGAGGGGTTCCGTCGAGCACAGCAGCATCTCGGGCACCCACTTGCGACCGCACACGCCACACCGGACCATGCGCATGCTACACATCAAAAATAAGATAAAAATAATAAATCAATATATTGTCGATTTGATATACAAATTTGGGGAGGGTTTGGTGCAATCGAATAATCGCGCCGACCAAATAACCGATCCACAATCGATGTGATTGGTTGTTGAATTTCATTGAGAAATGGGTTTTGATTGGCTAATAATGTTGAGCTCATCTGAAGTAGCCAATCAAATCGATTTAAATTCCAACGAGAAACCACCACACGATGAAATTTCACTCGATAAAGCCCCGTTTTTGTCCAATCCTTGCCATCCATCCATCATCCATATCGATCGTACTTGGAGAACGGGGCGAGGCTGCGCGAGTACGGGATATGGCACATCATGCACGGGGACTCGTGGAAGACTGTGCGATTGCTGCTGGCTTTGGTCGGCCGTCTCCTGTCCATTCATTTGAGTTTGCCTTGAAAACATTGTCGTATGTACGTACGCCGATCGGCTGAGCTGGGGGGATGCGTCGAGGGCGTCGGCGGCCGACAGAGGTGCGGCTGTGGCATCCGGCGGGAAGGCAGCGGTGGGCCGGCGGGGCTTTTTGGGGTACTTGACCACAGCGGCGGTGCCACATGCCGACATCACACACACGTCGTCGTGGATCGTGCACGATTCATTATAGCCAATCACAAACGAGCACTGCAGCGACTGCGCGTGCGCTCGGACCTGGGCATATACCAAGTCACATATATTGTCAAGTCGATATATTGTGCTTTCGAGTGAAATTTCATTGTGTTGTGGTTTCTCGTTGGAATTTAAATCGATTTGATTGGCTACTTCAGATGAGCTCAACATTATTAGCCAATCCAAACCTTCTTAATGAAATTCAACAACCAATCAGATCGATTGTGGATCGGTTTGGTCGGCGCGATTCGATCAAATCGGCAGACAATCAAAATTCGACCAATCAAAACCCACCACACGAATCAAGTGGCCAATCCAAACATCTCGCTTCTTCCACCAGTCAATCAGTGGGTGACTTATATTGGTCAAGTTTTACATATAATACAACATTTACAGGACAAACAATCGACCGATACATTTGGCGAATCTCGACCTTCGACGTGATATGATTTGGTCCTTTGATTCGTGGTGGGTTTTGATTGGTTAAATATATTTTGATATTCTGATACCTCTTCACGCAGCTCGAGCCACCACGAGTCGCGGGTCTCCTGGTCGGCCAGTTTGGTCGCCATTTTGCCAAGAAATTTCACGGAACGTGCCGTGACAATGCCGCCGAGGCGCACGCGCGTGTCTGGGTGGAATGCTTTCACCGTCAGCAGTTGAATCTCCTACAACCAACTAGTTAATCAACAAACTACTACTACTACTACTACTACAGTATTGCGACAGCCAACTACTCAATCCACCAACCAACGAGTTAATCCACTAACGACTACTACAACCAACTAGTCAATCCACTACAGTAACTAACTACTACAACCAACTACCGGTAGTAGTCAATCCACTAACTACCACAACCAACCAGTAAATCCACTAACAACTGTACCACAACCAATGAGTTAATCCATACGACCAACTAGTCAATAAACTAACTAGTCAATCCACTAACGACTACGACCAACTACCGGTAGTCAATCAACCAACTAGTCAATCAACTCACTAACAACTACAACCACTAACAGGTAGTACAACCAAACAACACTCCAGTCAGTACTACAATAAGTGTTCGTACATCATGGGCCCCGAGCTCAAACGTTTTGGTCGTGCGCTGGGGCTTGAATGTGCTCGTGAACTTGCGCAGGGACGCCATCGTGGCCAGTCGCGGTGACCCGCTTCCTTGGTCCGCGGAGCCAGCGGCGGCATCAACGGATGGCGACGGAAGGGTCGCAGCGTCGTCCGTGCCGACACTACGCTTGAGCAGCCCCGATATGAGGGCGTCCACGTCGCCATCTATCGGCGCCGCCACACCGGACGTATCCGTGGTAGGCACGAGGAAGACGGCTGTGCCGCACGCCCGCGCGACCATGCCGCTGTCCCCCTCCACGTCGAAGAACTGGCGGTAGCCCAAGACGGCGTTCCCACCCAGATCGAGTGCCTTTTTCCCTACCTAACATGAGGATGAGGCGCCGAGGATAGATACAAGACGTTCCGTACCATCGTGGACACTTGCGACGACAGCTTGTACAGTAGCAGTTGCCGATACTCATTGCTCTTCCGAGACGTTCGGAACGAATCGCTCCACGAATACTCGGGGTCGGCATGCACCACGAGCTCCTCAACAAACCCGAGCATGCGCTGCGTCGTGAAGATGGCTGGATCGAGGGTACTGAGCGAGAAGAACTGGACACCCGCGCTGGACTCGCGGAACGGATTGATGTCGCCAAAGTAGTGCAGTCGGATCACGAGATGCAACTCGCCGCGGACCCCCAACAATGTATCGTAGATGGGGTACCATCCCTGGACGCTGCACCCTTCCTTCATCAAGATGCAGTTCAGGTCCACGTACACGATACCGATCGTCGCGTCGGTCGTGTACACGTCATGGTCCATCACCTTGAACATGATCGGCTGGCTCTGCAGCACCGCGTCGTCCACGACATCGAACCGGAACTCTTCATCCCACCGCGGAGTCAACGACTTCTTCGACACGGTCGACCGCGCCTCGAAGCTAGCGAACGTAATGTCCACATACGCATCTGCTACCTTGGACGCGCGCTCCACCACCGGCAGCCCCCGCGCCTCCACCAAACGGATCTTGATCGTGCACGGCATGAGTGTGGACTTCTGTGGGTATAACGTAATGTATGCAATTCGAATATGCAGTTATATCATTATCCAATAATGTAGGGCAATTTAAGCACTTTAATGTTTATGTACGTCAATTTAAACACTTTAGTAGAATCCACGGCTGCAATTCCTTGTAACTGCCACCACATTTTATCGAAACAAGACATGAGGATGCAAGATGCTGGAGGTCCAGACGCAACCCGATCATGATTATGCGTTAGGTCGCTCGTTTCTTGACCGCGAGCACTTGGTACAGTCCAGCGATGTCCCATTCGACGTCGCTGATCGTGCCTTGGAAGTTGAGGACGTTCATCTTCATGAGCAGGTGCCTGTGCGCGTCCTTGTTGTGGCCGATGAACGTCTGAAAGTTCTCTTGCAAGACAAGGTCGAACCCGTGGAGGTCGAGCAGGCGGCGCAGCATCGACGACGGAATCAAGTACTCGGGTAGGTTGACTGCTTCTTCGTCATCTCCGTCGTTCAATGTAAACATGTACCTACATCATGTCTCATCTACTACCGTTTTCCCGTACGTAGCCTCAACGACACACACACACTTAACCTACCGCAAGCCAAACCCTTGGTCGTCCCGTGACGGGTGCAGCAGCCGGTCGCGGGTAGACGGATCCATGCGGATCGTACACAGCGTCCGGCCCTTGGCGTCCTGCAGCTCGATGGGCGCCGGCCCCACGACGTTCCCGTCGACTACTTCAGTCCCGCCCACAGTCGCCATGAGTTTCTGGATGATTCGATTTGGATCGATCGTCGTCGCTATAAACATGCCGCCCGGCCGCAGCGACTGGTGCAGTGTCTCAAAGAACCGTGTCGCACGCGGTTCATCGCAAAACATGTAGTGGAACGCAAACTGCATCGACACGACGTCAAACGAGTGCGGCCGGTCCACGGGCACGCCACGGTGCCAGTCGCGGCGCGTGGTCCAGCAAAGAAGCGTGTCTTGCAACAACGAGACCTCGCCCAAATCCCCATGGACCTAGTGAAAACATGAGATAAGGAGGATATGTGACGATGTTTCTTGACGCATGACTCTGATATTGACAACACTGGACACATTGCATCGTATCAACGCCACCACGGAGCCAGCACTACTACTAGTACTATTACTAGTACTACTACTGCTACTACACTACGTCTTGCATTCATACTAGTACTACTAGTACTACTACTACTACTATTACTACTAATACTAATACTACACATACTACACCTACTACTACTACTGTTACTACTACTATTACTACTGTTACTACTATTACTACTATTACTATTACTATTACTATTACTATTACTCCTTGATACAATCAATATACTAACTATACACTCTCACATCCATGCATATACATTTAAAAGTAAAAATAATAAAAGAGAGAGGGAGAGATGCCCAAAATGGGAGAGCCAAGGAAGGACATGTTAGAAATGTGAGATTTAGGCCACGAATAACGGGATGATCTGTACGTACGAGATGAATGTCGCTGCGGCTCAAGTCGCCATTCTGCTGCACTCTGGCGGCGGCGTCTTCCAACGACCCTACAACGCGTACGTACATGTGGGAGATGTGAATGTGATGATGATCATCATGATTCGGTACCCTTGGCGATGTCCACGCCCATGTACAGTTGAAAGTTGTGCTTGGCCCATTTGTTCATGTCGCCGCCCTTGCCGCAGGCCAAGTCGAGCACGCGGCTCTGCTTCTGGCTGTACTCTTGGATCAACACGCTCTTGACCCAGTTGTTCATGCAACGCATATGGTACAGCCGACTGTCGGCGCGGTCGCTCGTCTTCTTGCGCGACAAGTTGCTGTAGAACGCGGCCGCTTTCTCCTGGTCCGTTCTGTCCGAGGTGGTACCGCCGCTTCTGGACGTGATGGGAACGGCTCCTCGCGTGGCCGACCCGCTCCACACGGGCTCAAACTCGCGCGGTGGTTTCGGCGACGACCGACGATGCTCGTGCGATGGAATCGAAGCAGGAGATGATTCGTGATGCCGAGCAAACTTGGCCTTACTAGAATCGACGTCATCTTCATGGCCGTGTTCGGATCGGTCGTGCCGTGAGGTTGTGTGTTGCTCGTCGGGTGACGCGACAGAAGGTGCACCGACCGGCGAGAGAAGGTCGTGCAGTGAGTTGCTCCCGCGGCGCTGTGGAGGATGAAACGGAGGGGGCTCGACAGATGCATCTATGCTTGGAGCATGCGGCCGTTGTGGCGGTGGCGGCGGAGATGCTGGCGCCAACATGGTCGGTTTTTCATACGATCGGGTGCGCTTTTCGTCGCTAATGTGAAAGTAATACGTTCGTCTGTCGGCCTCGATGATCTTGCTCCATCCCTCGGGAAGGTCTTTGTCCACCCAGTACTGCTTCCCAGTCTTCTTGTTGAAGTAGTAGTCGAGCCCCTTGCTTCGCGATGTCAACACCTCCCATCCTTCTGGAATTCCTTGCACGGAAGCCATGGTAACTTGCGATTTCAACTGGTCAAAATAGCGCTGCTCCGATATAATCAGTATTGTCCATCTTTATTGACTACGAAGCCATTCATTGGTTGAAATCCGTCGTCCGAAATAAAATTAGTATTGCCCAATAAGTGTCGACCAAAATATTCTCATGACACTGTCTGAGGTAGGGAGCGAGCGGCTGGAGGAGCGAAGAAGCGACAAGATGGCGGCACCGTATCGCGGAAAAGCTACAAGGTACTTACTACCTCCGTCCCAGTTTAACCACTCCAAGCGTTGATTTTGAGACACAAACTCATATATTTGGAGTTTGAGGTGCGATTTGATCGGGGAGAACCACTACCGGTAGATTAATAGATCGATTTAGCAAGTCGTACTTCGAAGTAAAATTCACGACATACAGTACTCCTGAATTCAATGTATGGATGCGGTCTGGAATTTTGCAAAACCAACATTTTGGTATTCCAGTCCATATCCATAGATTCTTATCAAAAATATGCGGAATGAATGCGGTCTGGACAAGTTGCAAAACCTATCTAATAGGGAGGGTGTTTCACCTGTGGAGTCAGTTCACTGGGACGCAGATATAATAGAGACGTTTTCAACTCAGTTTGGGTGTTTTGAAGGTAGGGTATACACCCCCAGCTGTGGGGGAATTATTCAATGTTAACGTTATAGTACTACCGTATTTGTCGTACCTTTGCACCATGCCATTCCGTTAGAACAATTAACTGTTAATTGAATATTCCAAGTGTAAAATTGATTTGAGTTATAATATTATATTCACGTTATATCTTTCATGTTTAGATCAACGGCGGCAGCTTAACTATAAGGAATGGAATTGCTTCACTGTCCATTCGAAATCGGTGAATCGAATCGCAAGGTAAGGGCCTATTCCAAGTAGATATTTTTAGCAAAATGAAAAATAGGTACAGTTTCCTACGACGGACTTTTTTACCTCTTTTTGTGCGATTTTTTACGCTACTCACTATACCACTATACCACTATACCAAAAGTAGAAAAAGAGGTGCTTGACGTCTTTCGTGAAAAAACGAGGTAATCAATGTTGATTGGCTCATGCTATTTCTGAAAACTACTTGGAACTTCCCCTAATGAAATCCCCAAACAATTATTTACTTGTAAACAAAACGAGCATACATGTTTTAACAGTAAGCTCAAGCCGTGTACCATAAACCGTCCAATTTATTCTGTCTTGATTTGGGTAGAAATCGAAGGAAATGATCGCCAAGATAAAGTCTATTCAGAGCCGATTAATTAAGTAACGTTAGCATAGAATAGTGCCAACCTTTCAGCTTCATTCCATAATTGAAATCCCGGTCCTGTGCGACCAGCTAGCTGCATTACACGATAAGGTCTGTTTCAATGCGCCATAAAAATCACATTACGGACATTAGCGTTACACTCACAAGGTATATACTGCAGTGTCGACGAGTGGAGTACAGTTAGTCGTTAGACTGTCAAGATCAACGCCAAAACGGGGGTAACTAAAGTTAACCTTAGTACGATACACAAGACGGGCTTTGAATGTCAAACCAAAATGGTTCGCCAAAGACTCGCGGAATGAGTACCGGTATGGTTTTCAGATAAGTTTGAACAGGCAAAGTGTAACCAATACAAACGATCGATTGTGATCTGTACCGAATGTGACTTGAAACTTCCACTAATGTTAGACGCGAGATCTTTACTTCTCTCCAGGAACCTATTTGAGGCAGAGCCACGAACAATTGGAGGTATATTTGTTGTCGCATAAATTAGCACCCGCCATACGCTCCCAAATACACACGGAAAAGTCGACATATGAAATTGATTTGACTTGGTATGCAAAAAATAAAAGTTACAGTACTGTAGTGGAACTGTTCCGAGATAGATTCTCACTTTACAGTTAACGATATACTAACGTTATCCGCCCACCCCAAGTGCTACAATTGGCCATGACCACCGCAACCTTCACCCCCGTCAGGTGGCACGTCCCCGTCCCAATGTTCCTCCCGTGGAAGACATCAGAGTTCCTGCCACCCCTCGCCACGTCGGCCACGAAACACTCGAAACGCATCACATTCACCACGGCCACGACCTACTTCTTTGACGTCGACTGCGGGGGAAGCGCCGTGCCAAGCGACGACGGCCCACCCCTTGGGCTCGCCAAGACACATACCACACTAGAGTGCCATGACATTTACTCCCAAGTCCCCATGACCAGACCTAGACGCGTACGACGGTATGACCACGTGGAGCGCATGCTGTTGCTGCAGCATGCAGGGTATAGTCGGAAGCAAGTGGCGATGTGTTGCTTTGAAGGCATTGCCATTCGCAAGTCAAGGCTAGCGTCGAACGAAGACGCAGAAATTGAGCGATTAAAGAAGCGCCGGCGAGGGTACGAGGATGCAGTGGCCCTAACGCCAGGTGCGCCCAAACGTGCTACCCATTGTTTATGAGAGTTATTGATGCTTATGTGGCTGGGGTACATGACGTGCCATCGAGTCCATTACCATAATGCCGTGAAAGCTAAGGGGAAAAGCGCAACAGCTGACTGACTAGAATATTAAGTATTGCGACAAGCTTTCTCATGGGATTAAATTCTTACAAGTCCCTCATACGTACAGTAACATTTCAGTTCATGTAGGGGGCGAAGGTGAGTGTCGAGTAGAATGACTCAATGGATGTGCAGGCTGCACGCTGAAACTAATGTGCAAAGCACGAGTCAATGCTCTACCGGGAGGGAAATCGAAGAAGAATATGCGGCAGGCTCCCTCATACATCCAGCGGCATTTAGCCCGTCCATCGATGACTGGATGCCTTGGACGTGCGAATAACAAGGCCTTCACAACCCTTCAGCTGCATTCGCTTGTATGTAATGTAACGTTATATATATGTATGTATGTGGCTTGATTAATTGAGTTATTGGATTATCATTATTAAGGGACTTGACTACTGTAGCTCTTCAGTGTATTGGTGGCGTACAGCAAGCATACCGTTTTACATATAAAGTTATACTACAGTACGCACAGTAGTACCCAAGAATTGATGTGCAATTCAACGTTAGTGTATTCACCAGGCACAGTACTGTACTGTGTGCTGGGCTATGTCTTTTGGAGATAACAGTGAGAACCGACCGAGGAGGATAAATACATCTGCCCACGTTAGTCAACACGAAGTCATGGCGAGTTCATTCCGTCTGTTCGCAATCGTTGAAGGCGACAGTCGACTTAAGACCAGGAATATATGACGCTAGTGTTCTGAATAAGGCGGTTAACGTAAACGAGGGAAAACTGCCAAATCTTCACGGGAATGCAACGATTATTCGACCCCTCCTTTAAGTTCAGGTTATTTCCGGCATATTTCGTCCAAGGCGCAATATATTTCGTCCAAGGCGCAATATATTTCGTCCAGACTTTACATTGTTGCAGTATATTTCGCCTAATGTCTGGTATATGTGAAACCCTCAGGCGGTATATTTCAAATGATGTTTCATCTCTTTCGATTTTAAATGCAAATCAAGGAAATCGCAGATAGTGGATATGTAGCGTTTTGAACTTGTCTATATGAATCCTCTACAACCTTACACCTTGTAGCTCAAGCTGCTCTACGGTCTTGCCGAAAACGTGGGTGACATGCACGTTAGCGCCTGATGAAGTAGCGCGTTGATTTTCATCGAAAATCGAAATCGATGGAACATCATTTGAAATATATTGGGGTGACATATACGGGACATTAGGCGAAATATACTGCAACGATGTAGAGTTTGGACGAAATATGTGGAATGCTTAGCGCCTCGTATGAAATATACTGGAAATAACCTGAACTTTAAGGAAAAATAGTAGTGGTGCACAATCACATGCGCAAAATATAGCTTTTTGCAGTTATATTACAAGTGTTAATCGAGAAAAACAAGCAATTTTGATCTAACTTTGGAAATTAATTTGGGGCTGAAGTTGTTGTCTTAACTAAAGTATGTCATTTTGCGTAGAAGTTGTTTTTGAGGGTATGAAGCTATAGTAGTAACCAAATCGATTTGCATAGATTATGTATTCTCAGCGATTGCATATCCTCTGGTTAGCTGGCGCGTAAATCTGTCGGCCAACTCTACCGTCATTGAGTAATCCAATGATCGGTCACTGGAACTCAAGTCTCTGTAGTCTTTCAACCGTAACGTTATTGACGTTCATGAGTACCAAGACAAAGTCCCATTGCGATGTGATTGGAGTAACGGTTCGGTGCTGACCGTTACGTTCACACCTGCTAGAAGTCACCACAGCTTCACAGTAAATTTTCTATAAACGAGGCGGGAATGTGGTATATATTGTCATCCTTGCCGTTACATTTGCAGCTGTGTCTGTCAAAATGTGCCGGTCCTTCCGTTGATGGTATCCATAAATACCCCCTGACGATTTATAGAGTTGAGAAAAACTCCGGAACTTAGTACCAGAAACTAGAGGAGATTTCGGATCATAAAAATTTCGAAAAGCAAGGGTTTTATATCGTCGATTTCGGAGAAAATATCCTTTCCCTTTCGGTAGATGGGGAGCCAATTCGTTCGTGGACTTCGTGGATCGATGGTATAGTGGTCCAATGGGTCATTCGCACGTGTAGCGTTGGGGCAAATAGGGACGGCAAAGGCATATGAAGCATCGAATTGATTGAAGCTCATGTTTAGTTCAGTTGCTGTATCTACGGGACGTTCGGAAAGGCGTGGCTGAGAAGGCAACGAATGTCTTGCATCCGAAGTACCTCACTGGCACCAAAGCGCCAGCTGCCGAGGCGTGTTTCTATACTTGTAACTTATTAATATCTAGTGTGTGCTTCTAAGATTCGTTGAGATCAGCCACTTCCGGCCAGATTTACAGCTAGGCGCGCAGACGAAGCCAGTATTTGCCGACAGAAAAGCGTTGTACCAAGTCTGCAGATTTGGCCAATCACGAGCGATGCTTCGAATCCTGAAAACTGACCCTCCTAATGCAAGTTGACCATGCCGTTTTCGTGTTGGCACTTGAGTTCGGGCTTGAGCTCCTCAGTACTCTCCAGTTTTGACGAAGGGGGGATTGTGGACAGACGGCCACATCAACGAGTGAAAAACTCGAAAGTGGAAGAACTTGGCGCCAGTAATGTGAAACGACTTGCAATTTGATCAAAAACGCATGGGTTCGGCTCCAGGTCTTATCTTTGAAGCGATTTCGTTCTGGCTTGCAGCACATTATGCTCCATTTCACGATATACCGTACAAAGTAAGTCTTGGACCCTTGGTGGGTTGTCGAGGTCACCGCACTACGTCCATAGCTTGCGACTTCTCGATGCTCCACGCTAGCAATTATAGGGCGTTCATATGTAACCAGAAGGTCTAACGAAGTGGCTCAAGAACGAAGTTCGAGTGCTTGTTTAACTGTGAGTTAACGTTAGTCGGGGTTTCGTTGTTGAAGTCATCGCTCACTGGTCAACAATTCTGCCTGTCGCAGGAGTCAGCGATCAAAATATGACCATGTTGCATAGTCCACGAAACCGACGTTTTGGCAATGATACGCCCCAAATCAACACACTGCGTCCGTACAATCACAGTTTGCCATCAAGATGTACACTACTACTACTGCTAACTTACGACTGTCTATCCGTGCTATGCACGCTCAAACGCTGTGGTGGCAATATAACTTATCCCATTTGGCCAGTCGGGTTAGGGTTCTACATATCTGCCAGCTGGTTGCACTCATTACCGAATCGGCCACGAAGAGATAAGGAAACATGACAACAACGGCCCTCACGTGGCACGTCCCGGCCCCAATGTTCCTCCCATGGAAGACGGCAGAGTTCCTGCCACCCCTCGCCACGTCGGCCACGAAACACTCGAAACGA